TAAATAGGTATACTTCGAATATTTATCTTATGTGTCTGATTCTTGTAGTTCTTATATCAGTAATTCATATTATCTAATTTGAATTACTAATATTGATATGGATACCAAATATATTGGTATAGAATTTAAGAACATGAATCCAGATTGTAGAGGAGTTGAAAAATCACACAACGAGCGAAAAACCCAATATGACAATGTAATTTTCGATCATAATAAATTTTATTCAATACTATATATTTAATACTTGATTAAAACTTCATTATTGATTGATGCCCCTCTTATTGTTGACTTGAAATAATACATTAATCAATAATAGAATGTCTCTTTATCTTTATAAGTCAGATGAAGATGAGGATCGAAAAAATTCAAATTATCACGATTTTGATGAGTTAGTTCCTTCAGAAGAGATCAAAAAAGCATCTAAAGAGGCTAATGCATTACCAGAACATAAATCAAGACACATCAATGTAATTTTGGATCATTCTGCATTTGTGAGAGGAATTGGTAATATTAAACGTTGGTTCAATCAAGAGTATATTAAAGCACATATTGACCCTACGGCAAAGGAGGACATATACTTGAATATCTATATTCCAAGCTATACATTGCACGAGTTTGATTATGTGAAAAAGGGGACTTCTATGATGGCGACTAATGCAAGAGAGGCCATTCGGTTTATTGATAAAATATTTGAGAAGGAACTTAACGCAGAGGACGAAGCTGATATGACAAATCCAGATTTCAAACCAGAAAAGAGACCGATTATTTACGATATTTATATTGAATCTCCCAACGAATCTGGCCCTTCTTGGTCGGAATGCTTAAATTATAAAGTACACTCACCAAAAATTAAGGAATTCCCTAATTTCAAAACAAAGTTTGACTCTAACTTGATCGGTCAACACCCACTTTCACAGGGTGATCATTTAGAAAGCCATAATTTAGACGAAGCAAATTATAGCTCTTTGGCATACAAGCAAAATAATAAGTTGAATGACATTCAATATGAGAATTCCCAATCGTATCAAAATGCTTTGGCGAATGCGGACGAACTTGCAGAAATGCCGACACGTTTGAGGTACTTAATAAGATCTTGCATCTACAAACGATTCATAGAAAGAAAGACTTTCAATAGTCCTCTCGAAGAATGGAAGCTTGTCACAGAAGATCCAATTACCAAAGTCTGGGCCAAAAGCTTTGGAATTGACTGCATGAATGTGAACGAAGCAGAGCTTTTGATCTTCCAATCATATGACATCAACCAGTTTCAATTATATGACCCTCGTCATAATTTTAATGCTCAAGATGAAAACCATATTCCTAACAGTATATTACAGAATACTATCGATACTACCTTGTATTCCTACACCAAGATTGACCGTTCTTCCAAAAATAAAAATAAAAACAAGAACAAAAACTCAAAGAAATCTACTAAACCAAAACAATTCAACGGAGTAGTGAGCGACGGATCTACCGGTTCCAATGGGGATTTTGTCAAGAAAGAGAGATTTGATGCCATTAATTATGCACCAAGAGGTACTGGTGAGTTGTGGAAACCATGATGCTTGATTTTGCTTTCTTTCCATCTTTCTCACTCGCATACGCAAACATTGAAAAAGGATTTTTTCCAGCATATTCATGAATCTGAGTAGAATATCTCGAGATTCCATTTAATGATGCTTCGATAGCTCTTGATGCAGTATTCATGTTGTATATTTGTATATATGAGTTAATAGTCCTATACGTCTTGCATATTTAAAGAAATTGGGTACGACACTACTCGCGATACTCGTTCTCCCAAATTCAAAATTCACGACATCAAAACAGTATAAGCACGTAAGTTACTCTTAATCTTACTGTTTGAGTAGCAGAGGTATACAATGAATCGGCAATTTCTGCGAGAAGAGATTCAGAAAATTCTCCAACGTTGGCACCAACTTAGACAACAGTTCGGTGACCAAGCTATTAATGTGCCGGAGTTTACTCACCTCAGTAAAATTATCAAGTATCTCCAACAGCAAAATCAACAATCGCTTCAGAGAAAAAGCGCTCCACAGGACCAATCACAGCCACAGGCACAACAGCAGATACCTCAACAGCAACAGCAGCAGTTTCAAAGTCTGCCCCATATTGCTCAACCAATAAATAATAGCTCAAATGGTACTCCATCTGTTCCAAATGCAATGATGGGACAAGTTCCTGGAAATATGGGGGGAAATACACAGAGGACTATTCCACAACAACAGTTTCAACCACCGCAGCAATCTTCATATACGCCTCAGACCCAGACGCCTCAAGTGGTGCCCCAACAACAAATGCCATTTCAAAATGGAGGACCTATGAACTCGAATAACATACCACCGACTATGCGAAATACTGTAAATACTTCAGCTGAGTCCGCATTTTCAGCACAACAAGTGCAAATGTTGAAGGTTCAATTTCAGGCGTTTAAGTTCCTTTTAAAAAGCCCAGGACCCAGTAGTCCATTGATTCCCCAGAATGTCATAGATTTCGTAACAAATGATAGATTGGCTTTTGCAAATGGAAACTACCTACCGTCTACAGGTCATCAACCGGCAATTAATACGCAAACTCCACAATTTGCCCAACTGCAAATACCTGGTCAATCTAGGCAGCCTTCTCAAACACAAGGCTCAATAGGGCCAAACTCGCAATCGCCTATGATTCCGATGCAGCAAAACATTCCACAAGTAAATAATCAAATGCCTCCAAATAGTATTCCTTTTTCAGCCCTGCAGGAAGACCTCCTGAATGGTCTTAAGAAGCAAAACAAAAGAGGTCCAAAACCAAAAATGTTGAACCAAGGCATTAACTCTAATACTGTATCCATTTCAAATCAATCACCTGTTCAAATACCAAAGAGACAAGCAAGCATCAAGTCTACCACGAAGGACCGTAGTTTGACACCATCCACAACCAATACATTTAATCCTGTGTGTCTTGATCCTAAACCACCGGTGAGTATTGATGATTTGGTTCCTGATAAAGCTACTACGACCAAGACAATAGTTCCAATAACCAAACCTAATGTTCAAGTTGATTGTTTCGAAGTGCCGGACATTTTGAGTGATAAATTCAAGGATATCCCTTATACTGCTTTGTACACAGTTCAGAGCCGTTTTCAAATTCCTGGGCTTTTGCCCGAAGGAATTGATATGGATGATATCATAAATAATAGAGAAGCTTTAATCATACTTCAAATCGATCAAAAGATTACTTATTTACGTAAGCAGTTAGATAAATCTAATAATGAGGATGAAAGCAATGAAATCAAGGCGGAAATTAGCAAATTGGAGTTATTGCCTTATCAAAAGGAATTACGTGGAAAAATTTTATCCCAAGCTTGGTTTAGTAAATCTTTATTGCCGAATTCACATCCTAACTTCCTAGCAAAGTTCAATAACTTGTCTAGTGATAATGTAACATTAACACATGAGCTTTATAAACAACAGTTACATTCATTGGTTCAAGCTCAGAACAAGAAGCATCAAAGCACAATAAAGGAGATTTTATCAGCAAAAGTTATGAGGAATAAAAAGCAGTTTAGCAAAAAGGAAAAGATCGAGAGATTTGCTAACAAAATTAGTAGTTTCCATAGCCAAACTGCGAAAGAAGAACAGAAAAAGCTCGAAAAAATGGCTAAGCAACGTTTGCAAGCTTTGAAGCTGAATGATGAAGAGGCTTATTTGAAATTATTAGACCACACCAAAGACACGAGAATCACTCATTTGTTAAAACAGACTAATCAGTTCTTAGATTCTTTAGCGCAAGCCGTTGAAACCCAGCAACGAGAATCACATAATAAATCACAAAGAACTGTTCCAGAAGAAAATGTAGAGGGTTCGAATGATGAGGAAAGACGTGAAAAAATGGACTATTACCACGTAGCGCATCGTATCAAGGAAGAGGTGACCAAGCAACCATCAATATTAGTGGGAGGAACGCTTAAGGAATATCAAATTAAAGGTTTGCAATGGATGGTGTCTTTATTCAATAATCATTTAAATGGGATTTTGGCAGACGAAATGGGTCTTGGAAAGACTATTCAAACAATATCGTTACTCACGTATTTAATAGAAATAAAGAAAATACCTGGTCCATTTTTAGTTATTGTACCTTTATCAACATTAACAAATTGGAATATAGAATTTGAGAAATGGGCTCCAGGTGTTAAAAAGGTTACTTATAAGGGTACTCCAACTCAACGTAAAGTTTTGCAGCATGATATAAAACTGGGAAATTTCCAAATTTTATTGACAACTTTCGAATACATTATTAAAGACAGGAACTTATTATCTAAAGTCAAATGGGTTCATATGATTATTGATGAAGGGCATCGTATGAAAAACGCCAATTCGAAATTATCAGAAACCTTGACGCATCATTACCACAGTGATTACCGTTTGATTTTGACGGGTACACCTTTACAGAATAACTTACCGGAATTATGGGCATTATTGAATTTTGTTTTACCTAAAATTTTTAACTCAGTTAAGTCGTTCGATGAATGGTTTAACACTCCATTCGCAAATACAGGTGGCCAAGATAAAATCGAATTGAGCGAAGAAGAAACATTATTAGTTATTAGAAGATTACATAAAGTTTTGAGGCCTTTCCTTTTAAGAAGATTAAAGAAAGATGTTGAGAAAGATTTACCAAATAAAGTTGAAAAGGTTGTCAAATGTAAAATGTCGTCGTTGCAGTCCAAATTATATCAACAAATGTTGAAGCACAACATCTTGTATGCGAGTAAACCGGGTGAGGGAGACAAGCCTGTTTTAATTAAAAATGCTAATAATCAAATTATGCAATTAAGAAAGATATGCAACCATCCATTTGTTTATGAAGAAGTTGAAAATTTGATCAATCCCACCTCAGAGACTAATGATCAAATTTGGAGGGTTGCGGGTAAATTTGAATTATTAGATAAAGTATTGCCTAAATTTAAGAATAGCGGTCATAGAGTTTTGATTTTCTTTCAAATGACTCAAATTATGGATATCATGGAAGATTTCTTAAGGTTACGAGGCATGAAATATATGAGATTAGATGGTGGTACAAAAGCAGATGATAGAACTGGATTACTTAAGTTATTTAACGCCCCAGATTCGGACTATTTCTGTTTCTTATTATCAACTAGAGCAGGTGGTTTAGGTTTGAATTTGCAGACAGCTGATACTGTTATAATCTTTGATACTGATTGGAACCCGCATCAAGATTTGCAAGCACAAGATAGAGCGCATCGTATTGGTCAAAAGAATGAGGTTAGAATTTTAAGATTGATTACAGAAGATTCTGTTGAAGAAATGATTTTAGAAAGAGCGCATGCTAAATTGGAAATTGATGGCAAAGTTATACAGGCAGGTAAGTTTGACAACAAATCCACTTCTGAAGAACAAGAAGCGTTGTTAAGAGCATTGCTTGAAAAAGAGGATGAACGTAAACAAAAGGGAAATGTAGATGACAATGATGATTTAGACGATGATGAACTTAATCAAGTTATTGCAAGAAATGACGATGAATTAATTGCATTTAGAAAATTAGATGAGGCAAGATCACTTGCAACTAAGGAAGCAAATTACCCGAGTCGTTTATTCAGCGATCAAGAATTACCTGAAATCTATCAAAAGGATCCTGAGACTATATTGAAGAAGGATGAAGTTATTGAAGAATATGGCAGAGGAAATAGGGAACGTAGAACTGCGCTATACGATGACAATTTGACTGAAGAGCAATGGTTAAAGACAATCGAAGGGGTTGTATCAGATGATAGTGATGGCGAACGAGACTTCAAACCAAAACGTGCAAGAGGTAGGCCGCGTGGAATGCCTCGCTCAAATGATGATACAGATATGGATGAAAATGCCGATTTACGTTCACAAACCGGTTCTGTAAGTTCTAAGAAACGTAAAGCTTTCATAGATGATGATTTAAGTGATGATTCGTCAACAAAGAGGCAAAGGCAAGGTACACCTAAAGCTTACGGCGCTCGCGGCCGTGGAAGAGGTAGAGGACGTGGTGGTCGTGGAAAGGGATCTTTATTATATCGTGCTACTCCAACAGTTGATCCGTTGACTACTGAGGAGAGACAAATGTTACAAGGAAATATGATTAGCATATACGATTCTATCATCAATCATACAGGTGATCAAGGAAGAAAATTGAGTGACTTGTTTTTGTTGAAGCCATCGAAGAAGTTGTATCCCGATTATTACGTTCTAATCAAACATCCAATCGCTTTAGATATGATCAAGAAACGAATTCAAAGTAAAAGTTATACTGGCATTCGAGAAATATTAGAAGATTTACATTTGATGTTCAGTAATGCGAAAATTTACAATGAAGAGGGATCGATTGTTTATCAGGATGCTGCAGCACTTGAAGACCTTGCTGTTAAAAAGTTTGAGGAATTATATTCAGATTTGGAGCCTGAAGAGATGAAGAAAACGCTTGATTTCACAGATTTTGATGAGATATTTAATTTAAAGCCTTTGACATCAAATTCTGCGGTAAAGCAACCAGTTGAGCGCAAACTAGAAGAGTTAGATGGTGATGAATCTTTTGAAAGTCCTATGTCTATATCTGGAGCAGATGGGTTGAGTCTCGATGAAACGCCACTTGATCTTAACTAATATTTTAAATCTACATTTCAACCTGGAGTATACTATTATTCGTGTATATTAATTCATTAGTTTTAACTTAATATAATTATAAGATAATAAATTATGTCATGTAGGTGTATATCTGGGCAATTCTTCATCGATTTCAGCATTGTTAGCGGCATCGTTCAATACCTGATTCATTACCTCCACAAAGGAAAATATTCCCCCATCATTGAAGGCAATTTTTCCTTTAAACCATTCATTCTTCGGTAATCCGTCAGTCACAACGTTCGGTCTGCTTGCATTAAAAAACATAAATTCCCAATAATTCGGCCCAAACCATGGGGATTTCAATGCATGAGAGAAATGCAAATCTGGAGCCCCTTTCATATCTATCAGAAAGGTATTGATGTCTCCTTGAAAAGCAGTTATATATATCAAGCGTAGATTTGTTAAGTATATGTAACCGTCATTAGCAGTTATATTGATCCTCCTTGAAACAGGATCACGCAGTGATATGGATAAGGATTGTCTAGAAGTAGGAGTGGATAATTTAATTACTTCACTTGGTCCCAAAGAAAACGGAACTTGCTGACTATTACCCAATATCCTGGTATAGTTTTCTACCAATTCAACATTGTTTATAGACATTGGCTTACATATAAGATGATCAAAATTTGGCTGGGAATACTCTTTATCTTTAGATGAGTAAGAATTATGTACGCGGGAAAATATATTCATGATTTTTTTCCATCTAGTGAAGTCAATCTAAAGTTAGGAAATAACAATATACCAAGGCAATAAAGAAGTAATGCGTAAAGTCTATAGGTCATTTAACCCATCATTAATTGAAAACTTCCAAAAGGTCGGATTTCCTAAATATCAGTATGGATATAGGCACATTGTAAGGCCACAACCATGTCAAGATATCATAGATAAGTTGGACCTCAAGAAGAAATATCCAAATTCACATAATAATCTTGATATTATAGATGTCTTTTCAGGGTATGGTTTATTCTCGAGTATGATAAACTACGAATTGAAACCTAGGAAGCATATTATTATTGAAGATAGTAAAGAGAACGTCAATATCTGGGAAGAGCGTATTAAGTATTTGAAAGAGAAGACTGGTAATACCGAAAACTTTGAACTATATCCTCATAATGGTTATAATTGGTCCACTTTTGAATCGTTGATTAAGAAGGATAAAATAATTGAGCCTAGCGTAAAACCTAGAGACAAAATTCATGATGAATTGTTGATCATAGGAAACCTAACACCTCAAAAATTCGGGGAATCGTTACTTGCGCAATGGATCATGTGTTCTGTTTACCATAACTGGTTACAGAGATATGGACGTATCAAGATGGTGTGCTTTGTTCCTGATACTACAGCACAGAAATTCTTATCGGGTCCTCGTTTTCCTAAGCGAAATAAATCAGCTATTAAGAGGGAGTTATTTACTGATTCCAAATTGATTGGTCTTGTGGAATCTAGTGGGGATCACACTATTCCAGATGGAATTGATTTCGATCCTAATTTAATAGTTAGAGACCAGCCTTGTCTTATACCATCAAGGTCAATTTTACCTGCGGGTGCCCTGCTTGCTGTTGTAGAAATTGATCCAAAAGACTTGCCTGAAATGGATTTCGATATGATGGAATATATACTTCAAATATTGATGTACAAGTCTACAGGTAAACTCTCTGAAGCATTGGCTCAATTAGCGCCTGGTGCTGACATAGATCTAGCGCCAAAGCTTTCCAAAGAGATTTTGAATAAGTGCCCTAGAGACCTTTTAGCAGAAGAAATCTTAGAAGTTTTCAATGTATTTGATAAATGGGCATTCAAACCGTCGTTAACGGATACTATTGGTATTGTCCAAGAAGACACAAGAATATTTTGAATAATTGTCTTCTATGCCATGTAAATATTGTTCTCAACTCCTTGTAAATATAATGATTTAATTAACGACTATTGATTGAGAGGCTTCTAATTGTAAAATGCCACACTTAATTATCAAAATATTAGTATTGATATTTTCATACATAAATTACATTTGATGTGAATTTTCGCAACCATACGAATCTAATGATTAAATATATCAAGCTACAGCAGGATCAAAACTTATGAAACATATATATTCCAGTATAAAACAACCTATAATATAATTTTGAAACTAATTATCTTAACATTAAGAAAAAAAATCAGAAAAGTAAGAGAAAGAAAAAGCTCTTGAATAAACATGAGACCGCAATAAACGATAAATATATGCAAAGATGTACCGTTACACTATATACACTATATGATTATTACTCGTAGTCCTTTACATTAGTCATTAGTTTTATTCGGTTGGAACGTTTGGTAGATTGCCAAAAAGCTCGACTAACTTACTATTATTGAATAGGTGATCTGAAGGTGGGCCAAAATAGGATGAGTTGGGCAATACGCGAAGTAAATTGTAGATGGTATTACCAACAAAATTCTGGGATTGCTGTTGATTTTGTCCAATTTCTTTATTGTTGGTATGTTGATTATTATTAATTGACAAATCCGGAGTAAATTCATCCTCCACGGGAGTTTGTATCTTCCGTCTCTTCGTCTCGTTAGTGGAATCAATTTCCTCATGACTAGTAGCTTCTTTCCCTAAATCGAAATGTTTGATTACATCGATAGAATGGCCACGGTATCTGTCACTAAATAGTTCTATAGAGTCATCGTCTGGGAAATATTCTTCGTATCTACTATCCAAACTTTTAATCAAGTCTAAATCTCCATACACACTCTGATATCTTGAAAACTTCTTAATAAATTTCTTAATACAATTTTTCTTTTTAGCATTCTCCTTGATTTTAGCCTCTTGCAATCTCATGCTAGCACTCGTAGTAGAGTCACCGTTCTGATCGTTTTCAATATTTACATCTTGTAATAAAGCAGTCAAGCCTTGTTCAAACAAAACCTTAATACTCTCACCTTTATTGATCATGATCAAGAAATCCAAATATGCTAATAAGAACTCGCCTTGTTTTTTGAAATGCTTCATTCCCAATTCAAAAATTTTGCTGGCTGTTTTCAAGTTATCCGAATGATATTCCATTAGAGCATTTTCAACATAAAATTCATATCCTATACCTTCAAAACTGTTTCTTGCTTGCTTAAATACACCACGGGCTTCCTTAATACCCTTCGATCTTTTGCAGGCCATCATTAATTTTGTGTAAACCAAAGTTATAGCTTTATTCAATTCATCTTTCTTTTCTTGTAATTTAGATAGACGTAAAGAGTCCTCTTCACTAAGTTGGAATGTTGGGGGTTTAAAGTTATCATCATCGTCGTCATTATCACTATTATCGTCTTCATTATTATTCTTCTTCTCTTCAGTGTTCTCTCCTTCATTTTTGTTATTAAGTTCTCTGCTTGTAATTAATTCAATTTCATTATTTATATTGTTATAATCATTTGTTAGAGCAGATATTAAATTATCGTAGGTTTCTGTCGCTTTATTAATAGTATTATCTTTTTCATACATTTCCGATAATTGAAAAGTTAATAAATAACTTCTAGGGTTTAATACTAAAGCTTCATTTAAAAGCTCAATGCACTTATTAGAATTAGCTTCTTCATTACTGCGCAACCAAAACTTATTAAATTTAAACCACAATTCTGGAACAAATGGCAACGCCATAACTGCTTGTTTATAGACGTATTCAATTCGTTGTTGAACCAAAGTGTCATCTTTTAAATTCAACTTATTTTCCCTTTCAAGAGCAATCCACTTGTACCATAATTGAAGTTGAGTATGTACTAGGTTGTTATGATCGTTATGAATTCCAATAGGTATAACATCCCTACGTAACAGCCTCTCTGTTGCATTATGCCATTCTGTGTTCCATGATCTAGCATCCATAAACTCACTTGACTTTTCTGCGATGAATTTATTGGCAGTAGAAGCATTAACTTCGTTTTCCCATTTGGTATATGTAGACCAGACTTGTTCTATTTTTTCAGTTGGGATCACTAAAAATCTTTTATAAACCCTTCTTATTAAGTCTGTCTTCTGTTGTTGTTCCCATGTTGCGGCCGGAGTCCAAGCTTTTAAGAAATCCAAATAATCATTCCACAAATCACCACTATTTATATCTATACCAACTTTTGTAACTGCAAATTCAAATGCCTGAACCACGATACCTCGAGCTTTTTCACCACCGGTGATCACATCATTGGTACGACGGACGTACGAGACATATAGGCGGCATAATTCAACGTGGTCAGTTATTGGGAGGCACTTTGAGAATAAGTGTTCAACTTCTTGAAATTCACCTCTGTTTAATTGGTAATTAATATAGTTACACCATTGCTTACCCTAAATTTTGTTAGTAATCTTCCTAATATGTTTTAATCTGATATCGACAAAGTACAATTTATTTTAATAGATTATCTATGTAATTCATTTTCCCTTGATGTATTAATCTAATGGAATAAAGGTGAATCATAAGTATTGGCTATTTCTAAAGCCAAAATAATTTAACTGCTAATAATGCAAAACAAGAAATGAACGAATGCAAACCATCTAGAGATGAATCTATATATAATCTATCAATAACTGTACTTCAATCCAGTAATGATACATACATCAAACTTGAAAATACTCAAATATTTGTTGAACACCGATTTTACTTGCTCCTCTTTATCCTTAGCAAGAACTTGTTGGATTAATTTGTTCCATTTATTGTAATCCAATGGATCAGCTTCTAAATCATCTTCAAGTTGCCCGATAACATCCAACGACAATCTTTTCTTCTTATCGCCTTGAATAAACATATTGCTGGGCATGGAAATGAGTGGGCCTAGTTATGTGGATGTCGATGTATCGTACTTAGAAACGAATAAATAAATCAAAAAAGAATGTACTTAATTAGTTGGTTTAACCTATGGCTGGTCAACGATGAGTCTGATATAGATTACGACAATGTCGCACCAACTAGAATGTCGTGTTTATTCTCTCATTATAACTTCTAGTAACCCACAAGTAGACTATAAAACTGTTTGTTGTTAGCAAATAATGATTGAATTACATGTATGGGGACATGATTCCAGTATATCTGTTATATCACCGGAGTGTCTAGCTAGTTCGTGGCTTCTCAATTTGCACTTGAAACCTCAAAACATACCGTTCAAGATCGTAACTTCATCGAACACAAATTTGTCCGAAACTGATAAGCTCCCTCTTTTGCTAGTGCCTAACGATGAATCTACTAATGATCGTTACGAAGGATTTCAAAATATCTCCCAGTATATTTCTAGGAACTTTAATACGGAATACACCAGTGAAAATGACGTTAAGTATTTGCCGAATCAGAAATTATCTTCGGCTGAACAAAAGCTAATCAATAGTAGTTTGACGTCCTTTATTGAAAACAAAATCCATAACATTAATCAATACAATTTATATATAAACACTAAGAACTATGAAAAGTATACTCGGAAATTATTTCAGAAATTTTTCCCTTTTCCAATGATGTACAATCAACCACTCAAATTTTACCATGCTGCCCAAAGACAAGTTCAAGTTATAGGATTAAACTCCAACAATCCAGGGTTCTTTAGTATATCCGGGTCTGATGCAGTAGCTCAAACAGAATATTTCAACGACGAAAACGACGATGAAGATGTCGAGGGTGATCCAGTTGCTATAAGTTCATTGCATGAGAAGCAATTATTAGCAAAATCTAAACGTAAAGATTTGTTAAAGGAATCAAAAAATTCTTTAAAATGCTTGAACCTAGTGAATGAGTACATCGACTACATTGTTCTGTTATACCAGGAACTCAATGCATCTAATAAGCCTGATGAATTTTCATATCTATTTTCTAATACCAAAGATGGACCTTCTAATGCCATATCTTCCTCCGAATTACTACTATTTGCCTACATACACTCACTTTGTCTTCCTGAGCTTCCTGACAAATTTATTGCCAATTATCTAACGTTGAAATATCCAAAATTCCTTGCATTCATATACGACACTACAACCAAGTTGAACGAACGTTTATATAAGGATAAATCGATTTTCCGTGAACCCCAAGGAATTGAAGTTCCTAACTTATGGAACGAGTTAAAATATTCAACCGGATATGTTAAATACTAACGTATCTACTTAGTTAGTACTGTACATAGTGTAATTGATATCTTCAAGTAGACTTGTATATTAAGCTAAAGCACAGTTACCCGGTTTTCGCTTTACACCTATTCTCATCGCTTCGAGTTATAAACTATTTCTAGTAAGCTACTTTTGAATTTCTTTCTGCCGCTACTAAGTAATACCCAAGAATATAGATTAATATACATACTATATCGATATCCAACTGCATAATGTAGAGGGGGGGCATTATCATACTTTTTTATCCAATTAAGGCGTGATCTTCAATTTGTTAAATTTTTTTTTCTCTTTGTATATGTTCTCTGTAGTTCATATCCATGAACATTTCTGGCAATCTTAGCATAGTTTCATTTTATACTAAAATCAATGTATCTAATGATGGAATTTACTTGCCATAGATCAACTTTATCCATACTGTTTAAGTATCACAATTCTCCTGGTAGAATGTGAAGTTTACTGCTTATTTAGAGGAATTACATATATATACTATCCCTTCTACATTTCTTAGTGAAGATAATAGCCGTTAGTAAACATCCATTGGTACCGGCATCTGTAATAACCGAAGACATTCAACGGTTAATCTGTCACGTGAATATATCGATTCTTCCCATCTCTTTACAAGGGCAATATCTACTATACACTGCTCCGGGAATAGTCTAGAAGTCCTTAGATGTCTCCATTGAACATAAATACTGAAAAAAGCTCCATCTTTAGAAATATAATTATCGAAAAGGCCCTTTTCCATGCTTCTGTTTGATCGCTTGAGTGATTTAAAAATGCGCGAGGATATAAAAACCGGTCAGAATAAAAAACAATCAAAACTATCACTCTTTTCAAGCCCAATATAAGATAGCTATGAAGTTATTGAAATTATTCACGCTTGCTATTTTAGCAGTTGAATCTAGTGCTTTAACCATCTCTCAACCACCGGAGATCACGGAGGCCCCAAAACTAGAAAAAAGGGCTAGAGTGAAGGAGAAGATCTATGGTAAGGAATATCAGAAGTTACAGGCTGAAAAAGAAGGAAAGGGTGAACAGACTACCACGGCAATGCCTAAACCATGGGCAAGAACGATTACTTTAGCCAAATCTACTAAGACAGTGCTTGTTAGGCCAACAGTTATTGCTGGTGTTACATTTAGTACCAAACCTCCAAAAACAACTAATGGATTAGAGCCTTGGGTCAGTTTGAACAAGGATGGTTCTCCTAAAACCATAAAACCACAACATAAGGGTGGTCAAATTAAGAAAGGAAAACCAGATTATGGAACGTGGTTTGGTACTGTAACCCATATTCCCATGGGAAAAGATGTGATCAAAGCTGAAAACATGGAGGAAGATGAAATTTACGACCACGAGGAATATTTTCCAGAGGACCCATCCTATCACGAATTGAATCCTATAATTCGTTGTACGCCTGAGAGATACTTCAAAAAAGGGCAGGGTAAGGACCTTACATCTGAGCCGTTCTGTACACCACATGACAACCAGCAATTGAAAATGGACAAGACCTACTTTATTACTTGGTTTACCAGATATTTCAAAGAAGCCAAGAAAGTCAGAGTTCATTTATCGTTACTTAAGGAAGCTGCCAGACAAAGGGGTATGAAGCGTTCGGTTGAAGAAGATGAAATGGAAGTGGACCAGAACCTTAATAAAAGATCCTCTGTACTTGAAAAAGGGGCAACTATTCAAGAATCATCCTTCTTCTCCTCCGATTGGCTTGACGTAGAAGAAGGAATGCTTCCGATCACTATCTTGGAAGAATGGTTTGGAAAGAAAGATTGGAACAGGAAGGTATTAATTTCTCTTCAACCAGATTATGCCGATAATGAAGACTTTGATTACATGAAAGATTCTGTTGTAGTTGAGATTGTCAAGGGTGCAGTGGTCAGTAAAGGGCAATTCCAAGATCTTAAAAAGTTGGAAGAAAAATGGAAAAATCAGGGCTTAGAGGTCGAAATCGAAGACTCATCTCCATATGAAAAATACTACATTATGATGGCTGTTCCATCGTGTGTTTGTATTTTTGGCTTGGGTATGTATATCTTCGTCATGATCAACAATAGAAGTCTTGATTTAAGCCATTTGAAGAAAAAACAGTTCGCTGGAAGAAAGACGACTCACAGAAGGATCCCATTCAAAAAGAAGAAGAACCAATACACAGAATTACCACAGTATAAGAATAATGCTGGTACGAAGGCCGATTAATTGTTCCATGTTTATAGAATATATTACTATATAAGTACTTAAAAAGTCCGATAACGATTCACGTGATCACAATAGTATAACTATCGAGGTAATTATCTCATCATCATATAATACATTCGACTTAAACTACATCTTGATAGGTTGATCTTAGTTTATTTTATCTTTAAAACCATCTACCTAGCTTTAGTATGGTAGATTTAAGTTTTACGTCCAACCAAGGATGGTATCTTACGTTATTATCATCATCGTTATGTGTCCTAGGTTGCTTTGTGATATACTTTGATGATGTCTATACGCTATTATTCCCTAGATCGATTACAAAGAAGTACAATTTCCAGTTAAAGGAAAATTATCTGTTTTTGAATACAGCATTAGCGTTTAGTTCTGGATGCTTACTATTCACAGCGCTTTTTAGGTTATTGCCGGAGGCTTTAGAATTCTTCAATGATTTTAATGAACATGATAGAGCAAAAACGGATAAAATGCAAAAGAAGGAACTCAACTTTTATTTGGTTATATCCTTCATCAGTGGAATATTACTATGCTTTCTGTTCAATGCCGTTTTGCATTTGGTAACTAGTCAATCGGTGGTACATTGTAATCATGGCAGTGAGCAACACCCACACAGCCATTCCCACAATAATGAAATAGAACTGGTACACAGGGAAGGCAGGTATAATGAATCCTTGAACCATCATGAAGAAGAACATACTAACTCCCATACGCATGCAAATACAGGAAATGATATCGAGGCAAATATAGAGACTACGCCCTTATTAGACGAACGGAAGCCATTAATGAGAAAGAGATCGTCACTAATTCAGTATTTTATGTCACATAATGGCGATGAGAATACCCTTGGAGAATGTAAGGGGTACACGTCGGCAGAATTGTGCTTGTTTAATAAGAATCATTCGTCCGAATTACATTTCTGTGAGATCCCAACGCTTGCCAAATCAATTGATCTCAATGACGATGAACTACATGCTGTACATTCTCCTCCGTCACATTGTGCGGCTGCCTCCACCCATTCTCACAAGAATAATAGTGAGTACGCCCATCCTTACGAAGACCATGCATATCTACAAGGTGAGGATCATAGCACTCACAAGCCAGATCATCACCATCACATAAACACTCCTTTATCTCGTCTATTGCTAATCGGAATCCAAACCACATTGGCAATTTCCTTACACAAGCTCCCAGAGGGATTCATAACATTTATTACTTCAGAAGCTAACCCTGAATTAGGCTTCCTGATATTTTTAAGTTTAGCAGCCCATAACTTCACAGAAGGTTTCCTGATGTGTCTTCCATTGTATTTTCTGTTTTCGTCCTCTTCAGGCGGATTTGCAAAGTTGAAGGCCGTTGCCATTAGTTCTATCCTTGGTGGTTTATCACAGCCTGCAGGTGCTATCCTAGGCTACTTTTTCTTGAAATATAATGATAAAGGTGATTCCTTCGATATTCATAGTCTTAGTTTCGTACTTGGTATCTCTTTGGCCGTGACGAGTGGTTTTTTGACCGTGATTGGCCTTTCCATGTATGGCTCTGCCATTTCTTTCCATGGTGGAATGCTGAATTTGCTTTTGTTCTGGTGTATCCTAGGCATGTGCATAATTGGCTTGTCTTCAATAGTCAATAGTTAGTCTTTATCGGTCGTTTATACATCTATATACTGGTAATTTTGCATCTATTTTCAAATATACGCGTTATTTCAAGACTTCAGTGTAAACCTTGGTACACACAAATGCATCATCAATCATGTGGTCTGAAGAACATTATTAAAATATTGCCATTTGAAGATAGTAACATAATCAAAGTATTAATCTAATATATGTTTAAAGTTATACTACTATAACCCTACTAGACGTTTCTATTAATATCACACAAGTTCTAAAAAGAATAATTTACATAAAATATGATGGCGCATGAATTACCCTTACTGATTCATACGAAGAAGTCGAATCATAATGTCCCTCCTGCCAAAGCTCCCAGCTCAAAAACTAACAAGCACAAACCTCTGAAAAGTACTAGTGATGAAAAAGGGTTGCCTAACGGTGCTAAAGTTGACTTTGGGAATAAATCCGGGTCGAATACAAATAAAAAGTCGAATAAAAAGGCATCTAAGCACACGTCCTCAAACTCATCTAATAGCAAGGGAGTGACAAGAGTCTTACCAGATGGAAGCAAACCTAATTTTGGTAATGAACCAAGTCATCACAATGGAGGTAATAACAAAAAACATAATAATGAACCATGTTTACCTAATGGTGAGAAACCCAACTTTGGTGACGCATCCAAGTCCCATTCGAAGAAGAAAAATAATGAGCCTGTCCTTCCAAATGGAGAGAAACCTAACTTTTTCAACGAGAAGCCATCGAAAAAGACCACCAAGCCTAAGGAAAAGAAGACAACCATCACGGAAGATACGTATGCTGGTTCCTCGTTTCATTCCTCCCCAGCAGCCTTGAATTTGCCAAAGCCATCTTTCAAAACATCTCCTAAGGCAAACCATGCTGCACAAAATACTACAGATTCAAGTTATCACATTAGTCCCCAAGCTAATGTTCAGCACTTGGTTAGTGCGCCCCCACAACACCCTGTTACTGCGTATCCTGCCGGGAATGGTGCACCAAATATTCCTACTGCTCCCTCGAATCCAAATGCCTTTCCTCCTGGAAGCCCTTATGTTCAGCCTGGCTTTTCTTACTATGTGACTCCCCAGGGATATATCAATTATCAATATCCTCACGTACCACCTCCACCTCCGCCACCTCAAGGTGGTGTATTCCCGATGGTTGCTCCTCATTATCAGCAACAACCACAGCAACAACCGCAGCAACACCGTCCACATCATCTTCCTCAAATTGCTCCTCAGCAAGGTCAAAGAATCAGTTTTAATGAATTGTTAGGTTCATCTAAGAACTAGTCATTTTAATTCTCATCAATTAATATTTTTGTTGTCATTTCTTACTGCTATTCTTATGTTTGTTTTCATAAACTTTATTTCTTGGGTTTAGTTAAATTACCTGGTTGTGCCGTATACAATTTGTTTTATTTTACTGTTTGGTTTTATGCGCTTTTTAGTTAGATGTTCAATGGTTGGAGTTATCATGTAATGGCATTACATGAGTGGTTGTTCTACTGGACAGAATGTAACTATTTATGATATAATGCTGCTTTTACGATTAACCTCTTCGTCTAGAAGATGAATATTCACTATATTACAGATTTAAGTTTTTTTTTTCATGTTTTTATTTGAAATTGGGTTAGTTTATTTTATTTGTTTTTAATACTTATACATGGCATTTTTTTAACTTATCTGCATTTGAATATACTTGCTAGTTACATAATTATATAGTAATAGTAATATTAGTCTGTATTGTTATTTACATTCGTAAACTGATAACTGTGGATTTTGCTCTTCGCGATTATCCGTGAATCCGAAAGAAAAAAGAGTAAAGGTTACAGTTAAATGTTTTTTTAATTGTATTGAACAATTTTGAATTATAGAAGTATAATGACAGGTAAGGAAGTCAGAATCACATTCCTTATAATCTTGGATACTGTTTTCTTCCTTTTGGAAGCTATCGTGGGCTATAGTGTTCATTCGCTTGCATTGGTTGCTGATTCATTTCATATGTTAAATGACATTATTTCATTAGTCATAGCATTGTGGGCGGTTAGATATAAGAACACTAAACCAGCTGATGGAAAGTATACTTATGGGTGGCAAAGAGCTGAGATTTTAGGGGCACTTATCAATGCTGTTTTCCTTTTAGCATTATGCTTTACTATTGTTCTTGAAGCAATACAAAGGTTTTTCGAACCGCAACACATCACTCAACCAAAGTTGATATTAATTGTTGGTATTTGTGGTTTACTTAGTAATGGTGTTGGTTTAGTATTGTTCCATGAACATGGCCATTCTCATTCTCATGGTGCTTCTGAAGGTGGTCATGGACACTCTCATGGCGATATAGAAGCAGGCGAATCCAGTAATGCGAATGAAAGTCATGATCGCAACGGGTCAACTTCTGATTTCACGGAATATATGCCAAATAATGTTGTCGGACGTTATGATGAACATAGCCCATTGATTAAGAATGATAATGCAAAGAAATCTGCTACTAAAAGAAAGTCCATGAATATGGAAGGTGTATTTTTGCATGTTTTAGGTGATGCTTTAGGAAACATTGGTGTCATTGCAACAGCGTTATTTATTTGGAAAACTGATTATTCTTGGAGATTTTATTTTGATCCTGTTATTTCGTTGCTTATTACCGTTATAATTTTCACGTCTGCTTTATCATTGTGTCGTAAATCATCTAAAATCCTTTTACAAGCAACTCCAGCACATGTTAATTCAAATTTAATATTGAATGAGATAGAAAAGTTAGAATCCGTCAAATCTGTCCACGATTTTCATATTTGGAATTTAAACGAAGATATTTTAATCGCTTCATTGCATGTTGAATTAAACCAAGGTCCTGAAGTAACCAATACTTCAAATGATACTATAGATCAGATTGATAGAGTTACCTTTGTTAATGCTGTTACACAAGTAAGAGAAATTTTACATCGTTTCGGAATCCATAGTGCAACTATTCAGCCAGAATTTTCGAACGGCTCTAAAAAATTGAATAAGAAAGCAAGTGCTTACGGCCAAACTAACGTTGACAATTGTATTGTTGATGGAGCCTCGGGTTGTGATAATAATCAATGCTTGAAATAATTTTTTAAAGTACCTAGTTCATAAGAGTTTAGAATATAAAATCAGTTCTTGATTTATCATACGCTGTCTATTATATTGTATATTATAAAATATGTACTTAAACTTAATATAATTCAATACTTAGCCTGTTATACTCGTAGATATAAAATATGGATTTAAACTAGAGATTTTCTCCTCGTTCTAAATCTTGTAAGTGATGATCTATATCCCTTCTTGCTTGGACTTTTAGTTTCCGATCTGTCGTAACCAAATACATTAATTAAATCATAAGAACCATCTTCATCTTCCTCGTTGATTCCGTTTAGCAGGCTGAATACCCCGAAGTCTTGATCAACTGATGGTAGTTCCCTAATGGAATATATGTCGTCATCAGGAAAATTGATCGAAGATCTTGGACTTATGGTTGACAATGTAAGAGTATCACTTGGAAATCTGCTTCTAGACATTTCCTCGTGTATAGGCAAATCAAAAAATGGGTCTTCGCCTTCTGTTTGTAATAAATTAGAGAATATATTATAGAATTTGAGCCATGTGTATTCAAGTTCAGGTGAAAACCGGTTTCGCCCAACCTGATCTAAAATAGTCAACGTTAACGCTTCACCGACCAATTTGTAATGGCACATCTCATAATTCCATATACGAGAGCATATTTTTGCTGTTTTTATTACGCCCGAATCATTATTATGAATATTTTCTAAATCATAGATAATATTAGAAATCAAGCGTATTAAGTCAGGCAAATGGTAGTCAAATTCCTCATCTTCAAGTTCGAAGTCATCAAAATCGTTTCTCTTATAGCTTTCCTTGGGATTATAATGTAAACTTGTGTAATGCAATAAATTGGATTTTAATTTAAACGCAAACTCCTCAGCTATCCTCTCATCGATTTCCACAGAACTACCCGAGTTCATATTAATAATATTCAGTTTGGCCACCCCTGGTATGAAGCGTTGCAATATCTCTTCATCTTGTTGCAATATCTCTTCATCTTGTTCTTGACTGGCTGTAGTTGATGTGTCAAATTGTGGATTTGAACCAGCAAACCCTGAAGCTGTAACTATCCCTAGCACTCTCCATATATTTTTAATCGCGTCTATTTCACCCAGGCTGAAATTTAAACCTGTATCGTAGAATGACAGGCCAGTTGATGTTCCCTCGATGTATACCCCTGTCATGCTATAGAGCATTCTGTGAAAGAGAAAATATAATATAATTCTTCAAAGTCTCTTGAGAAGCTCTAAATATAACTTCACTCCTTCTATCTTATTTCTTCCCCAATAAGATCGATCACAGACCCTAATCAAAAATCTAGAGCTTATTGGCTGATCAGACTCAAATTCTTCTCTCGGATATACGCTATTCATCTTTATAGCTTATTTTGGCTGTTCGGGGTTAAAGTTAGGGAATGTCCAAGAGAATTGAATGTACTTCAGGATACTTATTTCCCTCTTGGGAAAGTTTATCGATTTCATTCATGCGTCCGCGGCAATGTCCAAGGCAACACAATAGATATACCTATTTTATGCAGTGCGAGAGAACGTTGGAATCGAATGGCCACGTTATCCATGTCTCCCTCACTTTGCAACGAGAGAAGTAATTGGTGTTGTCTAGAAATAAGGCATATTGAACAAGAAATAATTTTATTGTAGAACACATATGCACATGTTAGCATGAGTAATGGGGGATCCGGGGGGGATTATTATTATACATTAATTTACAAGAAAGCAATAGTAAGCTCTACCAAAAAATGTAATATATTGTGGTTTTATCTAAAGACTTGAAAATATATATGGGTAATTATAAATATAAAGAGCGTCTAGACAGAGTGTACCGAATAAACTTTAAAGTTTAATTATCGATGTAGCATTTGAAGCCCACAATCATGGGTGGTACAAGTAAGTCAGAAAGCTCCACGAAAAGATAAGTAGCGGGTAGTGAAAATGTAATCGTAAATCAAACAATTTAATATCATCGCCAGGATAATAATTGAAATTATTTTGCAAAAACGTCGTAAGGAACAGCTTTAACATTGTACTTCATGCCATTCTTTTGAGAAGAACTATATCTGGAATCGATTGAGTTTCTCTTCTTGAAGAATGAAAAGCCCGAAATATTAGATCTGTTTGTCTCAGTGGTGCAGATAGAAGCTAAATCCGAAGTCAGATCGCATGCTAATGAAGATTTTCTGGTAGTAGTGGTAGATGAAGAAGACGAGAAAATAGACGACAATCTAGATCTCAAAGACTTTCTCTTCGATTCTGTTGATGCAAATGACCTTGTGCTTTGTAAGTCTGAGTTTGATCTGGTATGTCTTGGTGTTGTCTTCACTGAAGAAGCCATAGTTTTAGTGGCTTGTTTGTCGTTAGAAAGATTTGTCACAGGCACAAATGAATTCAACAAGTCATAACATCCATCAGAACCGGTTCCAGAACTGAGAGTACTCTGAAGGGAGGTAGTGCTAGTCTTTGCTGAGTTGTATGAAGAGTTGTTGGTGGCTGCTGGGATAGTAGGAGGTTTGAGAAGAACGTTTTCTGGTTCGTTGAAGCCTTGTTGAGCGATTTCCTTCTTCAAGACGAAACTACTTCTCATAAATCCAAGCGAGGCTCTTTGTTTGAATTGTTGTTGGCTGCTAGTTCTCGACATTTGGTATGTTGAAGATAATGATGTACATGATGATTGAGGTCTTGCCATAGTATGTACAGGTTCTGCAATTTGATCTGAGAGTGGTTTCATAGAACTGACATCGCTTGATGTTGAAGCCTGTCTAGTACCATGACCCATTTGGAATTTGTTAAGTTCTGGTGATGGTGATACTGAAGTAGCATCACTTCCAGAATTAATAGATGATCTGTAGTCACTATTATGTAAAGACAATGTTGACACCCCTGAACTTATTTCATCTGCATCCGATGATGAACGAGCACCATATTGAGATGATGCATTATCATTATCGATATCTTCATCACTTTCATATTTCGAAGAGGCTGTTTCATCAAATTCAGACTCAACGATTGGTTCCAATCCTTTGATACCAAAACTATTGTAGTCAAATGCAGAAGGTTTATTTGTTCTTTCAGCTGAAGTTTCTTTCACCTCAAAGTTGTAAGAATCATCTTCAACATCACTCACAGAAGTTTCTCTCGAATGACTGTTAAATAATGGAGATGTAGGCTCAAATTCAGATTCCTCATCTGAGATAATTGGTGATTGAGACTTTCTCTTAGAAAGCCTACGAGGGTCAAACCCAAAGGTCTTTTCCTTTTCAGCAAACTCATCATCCGAATCATCAGAGATAACATTTGATGGCTTTGTAAAAGCCATTTTGCGAGGATCAGCCTTATATGATTGAGTTTGTGCTTGTGCTTGTTGAACTGGTTCGGCTTCCTGTACTGGTTCTGCTTCTTGAATGAGCTCCTTCATAGATGTTCTTCTTGAAGAACGAGGAGCAACCATTGGTTCTTCTTGTTCGGGCTCAGCAGATGGAGATCTTCTTCTCGATCTACGAGGATCAAAAGAGGAGTTGTCTTTGGATGAAATCAGTTCTTGCTCATTCAAAGATGCTGGTGAGCGAGGCAAGCTTCTCATTTTTCTTGGATCAAAAGGAACAGATGGTGGGCTGAGTGGTGGTGTGACTTGTTGGAATGTAGGAGTACTTGGAATCTGAATTGATATTGGTTCAGTTTCTGAAGATTGCACACTTCTTCTAAACCCTCTGTATTTTTCATTGTTTGAGAGTTGGAACAGAATAGTGCTGGTATTAAGTGGTTTTATTGATTTATCTTGAATAACTTCTGGTTCAGGAATCTCCTGTTGTACTTCCTTCTGCATATTATTGTCTTCTTCGTAATTTCTTTGTGGCTGAGCCTGTTGTATTTCAGGTTGTTGTTCCTGTTGAACTTCTTCCTTTGTTATTTGTTCCACTGGAGGACGTCTTCTTGGTCTTAATGCCTCGATTGGAGGTTCTTCGAGAGAACGACTTTCACTTAAATTTTCTTCAAACTGTAATAGGCAGTTTGCAATATACAAATAGACTTGCACCCACAAGGATTGTATTTGTTCATTGAATTTTCCTTGTCCCAACCATTGACGGAAAGTAACGATCAAGGCCGAACCCATTGGCTCGAGGTATTGAGAACCCACCTTGACAAATTTTGGATTTTCTTTCAAGAATGCATTCATGCACTGGCTCAAAGTGTATTCATCATCCAAGTAGAGCATTGTGAAACTCAACAAGTCACCAAATAAGGTGGACTGTTCAGCAATAACAGATTCCGAATGAAATACCTTTCTCAACTTAGGGTTAGCAGCAACCAAATTTGAAAATAACCTAGTAATAAAGTCATCCTTATGATATTTGTTATTAGCTTGCAAGCTTGACCAACAGGTAGTAAGCTTCTGAATGTCTTCTCCAGATAGCTTTAATTGAGCAGACATTTTGTAATAGTTGATCTCAATATAATTAAGAAAATGTATAGTATATTTCGTTATATTACAGAAAACTGCTTAATCCTTCAAAACTTTTAAAAAATGGGATTTGAATTCTTTTATATTTTGAAATATATTGAAAAAGGTAACTAAATAATTTTATGCCTATTCTGTAGCATTAACTGTAGCCGTCAATTCAAAAATTCCCTTATATAGAAACCCTCTGATGATAAATTCCCTCGACCTAATTATTACATTGCCTATTTTGGAAGTTTTGAACTGTGAATGAAAGAAATAGGCATTACAGATAGTGGAGATATAATTTCATTTGCAGTAAAAGCATATATTTTAATAAGTTTTCCCAATTAAGTAATTTTTGTTCTCACGTAAATATCATTTACCGTATAAGGAAGTTTTACATATTCTTTACCCAATGTAGTAAATTGGTGATTTCGCAGTGAATTTGATATGTGTATATATGAAACTTTTTTGTATTTACTTCCTAATTTGGAAGTCTACGAAGATTACTCTCAATATTAGTAGCACCACCCCATTAAGGAGATTCATGTGTTATTCTTGCTACTTGCTATATAACATATTGTGACTATTTAGTTAATGTCACAAGATTAAATCAACTTCACAAGACCACAGACTATTATTTATTGATATCTCCAACCAAACGTGTATTCTACGTAGGTTTTGTAAATTGATTACTTCGTCAAATGCTAAAGTTTTGAACGTTAGGATTCAAATAATTAATTTGTACATTCCTACCCGGCTTCTTACCTGATAATTTGAATGAATAGAATAATATATTGACATGCATGGATGATTGTTGATAATATAGAATGTAGGGTTGGCCTCTTTTGCGCGGAGTAAAAATCCTCAGGAGGTATCGTGACTTATGTCCCCATACTACTTACAATTCAAAAAATTTAATGACGTTGGTAATAATGGCATAGCTACATACACTAGCAACTTATTTTCAAATTCTCGTCTGATGCAGTTACAGTTCTAGGAACTTCAGCTTCCTGGTTTATTTCTTCTTGGAATGATTCTTTTTGTGATGCATCTACTTGAGTTTTCTCTACTGGTGAAGATTTCGCCGGAATTCTTTCGCTTCCCTCGACTTTAGAGTCTCCTGGAACAGTGGTCCCATTTTGCTCTATTAATTGCTGCTTGGTAGCTTCTTGTTTAGATTCTAATCTTTTGCGTCTCTCTCTTTCTTTCTGCATTTCTCCTGCGAGCCATTGCTCTGCGTGCTCAAGTTGTCCATTAAAAACATTCGTTAGTTTCGTAATCATTTCTAATGATTCTCTGGCAAATACAAATATCTTGTCATTTGCATGCTGAGCAGAAGTGTTGTTTGTTATTGCAGCCTGTTGGATTGTATGCGGTAACCTTAATATAATATCACGTATGGTTGACTTGAATTCTAAATCTTCTGACCTGGATTGAGGATCTACATCATTACCATCTGGAGAAATGGTATTGGTATTGAGTGATGAGGGCTTGAATGTGGATATGACGTGTATAATTTTCTTCACTGTTGCAACAATTTCTGTCTTAGTTTGTTGAGCTTCCGACTGTGCATCTTGAGAGGAAACATTAGTAGCAGTAGCAGTATTTGTATCTGCTCTGTTTGCGGATGTAACATTGGTTCCTTCTTGTGTTTCATCAGCGACACCTTCATTGTTAATATCGCTCGATTTACTAGCATTGTTAAGTGACCTTTTCTCCTTGATTGAACGTTCTTTATCAATGACTTTTTGTTGTAAGAAGTTTACTTTGTAGTTAATCCGATCATTGGCCAAACGCAAAAGGTGCAAACAAAACTGAAGTCTTTTTTTAGTTTCCATTGTAACCACTTTATTATAATCCGCTGCACCTCCTAACCGTCTCTTTTTGATGGTCACCGACGGACCTTGAGCTTCTCCTTCGAGCTTCAATTGTCTGGCTTGATGTCTATTATTTAAATTAACTTCAATTTTGTTCACAACAGGAATCGCTGCCTTTTCCACTATACCAGCTGCATAATTAAATGCTCCATAATTCCTCTTAGAGTTTTCATAATATTTAACTGCGTTTGTGACGATAGGATGTTTAGATACTTTGCTAACTTTTGTCACTAACGGATGTTCACCCTGACTTACTTTATATTCCGCTTTTCTCTTCCCGTCGTTAGTTCTGTCTTCTAGTGATGATGAAAGCGATGAAACAGGAGTTGTCGTGGTTGACAGATGATTATTTATCGTCAAGGGGGGTGTAGAGCATCTAGTAAGTTGCGTTAACGCCTCTGCTGCAGAAAATAGATCATTATCAGTTGAGTTGATGTTTCCAACGTTTTCTTTGTTATTGTATGGTGGTGGTGGTGGTGACGGCGATGAGACAGAATTTTGCGAAGATATCGACGAGTCTGATAGCTTCCGCTTCGCTACCTTATTCCCTTTAGTCATATTTATTGTAATAAACGCCTATATCAAACAGAATATGTGGTTCTCGTAATATATATTCGGAGTATAAAAGACTACTATCATGGCTTCCCAAGAGAAACTTTCTGCGTCAAAGCATGTGATTTTTTTTTTTTTTTGGCATCTTATTTTACTTCGTAAGAAAATCGAAATGTTGAGTCAAATGGATGCAAATAAAATCAAATACTTTGCTATAAAACGCCAATCAATACTTGTTGATGAATATATATAATAAATGATATACATATTTAGATTATTTAATAATTGCAATTATAATAATCAACAAATAATTTTTTTAAAATTTGCAGATAAACTGAATTTTTTGTTCACAATTGCAGAATCAAACTTCAGGGTCTTCAAGTTTAATGAAACTTGAAGGACCAAATTTTAATTCTTCTTGCTCTAATTTTCTGGAGGAAACCCACCCTCTACCAAGAATAAAAATACGCCTGAATTTATTGTTATTTTGATCTCTCTTTAAAACATCTTGATATCTTATATTAAGTACCTTAGGGTCATTTTCCACACGAAGATGGTTAATATCGATCTGCTTTAAAACAGAATTACAATTAGAAGCAACAGTAGGTGACTGAGTTGACTTTGACTTGATCAATTGTTCTCTAATGTACTTTTTCCATTTTTCTCTTCCTTCGGTGGTGGAAATATCAAATGATTTACTGAAGTCGGTTCCGTTTGCATCGGAATTTTCATTTTGAGTCGAGTCAATAACAATATCAGAAGCCGCCTTAGGATTATCTACTACAGTAGAAAGTTTCAAATGAGTATTAACGGCTTCACCTGTTGATTTGTGCACAGTTGGTTTATTATCAGTCTTGGAATTCTCATTATTCTTGTAGGAATTGTGAGCTTTTCTACCTTGTGGCAGCTTTTTGTAATATGCTGAGTTTTCAGCTGGAAGTGGAGGCAAGATTGCAGCAGTAGGACCACAGCTTGAATAGAAATAACCTTTCAATTGAGAAAAGTCGATAGTGGTTTTTTCAAGATTTTCAGAAATACTTTCAATTTCCCTTCGAACGTCCCCTCCACGATTAAGTCTACCATGGAGGTTTCTGGTTTCAGATTTAATAGTTCCAATTAATGAGGAAACTGTACTATAAAGTTCTACTTGTTTTTCATTCAAGATTTCAAAGTTGTCTCCTAGGTATCTAATATTTCGTCCAAGATGCTCAAAATCTCTATTCCTGAAAATGAACGTAACAATGGAATGAATAGCGACAATCACTTGAATAAATAAACTAATAATTACACCGGTTATTACAAACCAGCTAGAACCGGTTGATGAAGTATTAAAGTCAACAGCCCTATCTAATATATCGGCTTGATGATAACACGTTTGAATATTCAACAACACAGCCAAATCATTAGCATTATCGGACACCATATCAAGACAACTATACGAGTATTAGTAAGTATTCATTTAAGTATTCGAACAAAAAATTGACTAACCTTTCCAATTGAGTAAACGAAACTGTACTCATTCCATTCCTTGATTCTCCACTCAATTCATTACGGTATTGTTTAAAACATTGTATACCATCTGAATTATCACTACACTTAACAATTGTTTTAAAAGCACTTGATTGAGTTAATTGGAATTTAGGCTTATCGACATTGAAGCGTGGTTTAGTAGATGATGATACATAAATAAAATTTCCAGAAAGAAGTACCAAAATTAACAAGAACAAAGGGTGAATGCCAGTAGAATAATTGAATTTGAATATTTTTGAAGTAACCGTCTTGTCTTGGACTGGTTGCATGGTTGTTGTTAAATGCTTTAGAAAAGATATAAAGTACAAGACTTTTAGACGCTTTTATGGATAAAGGAATTTTCGCAGCCACAAATACACGCTCAATTTTGATATCAAAATTCTATTAAACAAAATAATAAAAACTATACAGTAGATGCAAATAAAATTAAAGAGAAAGAAATAAATAAACGGTAAAAAGAACTCCTTCAAGTAATAATACGTAAGGAGAACTTTTCAAAAAGTATAAAAAATTTATTCATCCTTTTGATGAGATTGGACATATTCAGCTGCTTTAGCTTTAACACGAGCAGCATATTGTTGGTCACCTTTTTCTTCTTCAAAAGAGAGCCACTTGCTGAAAAAGAACTTGGCTTGCTTACGAGATAATTTCTTGCTAATGGCCCTTTCAAATAAGTCCTCAACCTTAGCCTTATTATCTTGCTTAATTTCCTGATCAATATAAACATTCCACAAGTCAATTCTCTTTGGAACATCTGAAATTAAACCCTCAAATAATGATCTACCTTGTTCAGGATCACCCTTTGTAAATTCTAATTGTCCGAATTTTCTAACTACTTCAATATGTTCTCTCTTAGGCAAAACTTGTAAAGCACGAGCTAAAACCTCATGTGCTTCATCATTTAATTGACGATCCAACAAGGATGAACCATATTGAACCCAAATAGAAACATTTTTACCGAATTTTTTACACATGACCTTGTATAATTCATCAGCCTTCCTGAATTTTTCGGACATGGTGTAGATACTCACTAATTTTTGATGCATAGTTAATGAGTCCATGTATTGACATGAACGCTTGAATGTCTCTTCTAATGTATCATCAGTTCCGAAAGTATTCTCCAAATTCAATAATGCTATCCAAATGTTCATCTTTTCTTGTTCTTCACGGTAATTAATTGTCTTCAATGCTCTTTCACCAATTTCACGCGCTTTATCAACCTCACTCAATTGTAATTGGAATGACATGTAGTTCATCCACATGATAGAGGAATTAGGATTACCAACCAATAATCTTTCAAAATCAGACACAGATTGTGGTGCTCTAGTATTTAAATCGGCAGTCTTATCCTCAATGATCTTCAGTGTTTTTCTCTTCTTCTTCTTTTCATGCGTGAAATCTTCTTCGTCTGATGATGAATAATTATCTTCAGCTTGATCTAATATAGATGCGGTCCAATCAAAACCATTAGTTGATAACCCAGATAAACCAGAAGCTTTGGCATCTTCATTTTCTTCATCTCCTTCACTGTCGCTATCGTCCTCACTAGCGTCTTTTTCATTTTCTAAGACATCTTCCATTATTTCATCGTCAGATTCATCATTTTCATGTTCATCATCAGATTCAGAACCTGATTCGTCTTCATCAACCGCATCGGACATCTCAACATCTTCTTGTTCAGAGGAAGCTTCAGTATTAGTGAAGTAAGATGCTTTCATACCTAATGACAATTGCTTCTTTTCTTGGTCAATTGCTAAAATCTTAACCTTGACACGATCACCTTCTCCAAATAATGATGAAACATTTTCAACATCATTATCGGCAATTTGGGAATGATGACATAAACCACTTATATTGACAGTTCCATCCAATTTAATGAAAACACCAAAATCAGTTACTCTTCTAACTGAACCTTCGAATATTTCGCCTACTTCTAAGTCTTCGAATTTCTTTAAGACATTCAATTCACCATTAACTTCACTTTCCTTCAAGGTCATGAGAATACGACCTTCCTCTTTACAGGATGAAATCTTACCAATAATTGGTTGATGAGGTTTAAAATATTTCTTCCAGTCCTTCAAGTACGAATCAGACAAGTCTGTGATTCTAACCAAAGCATGCACAGATCTACCTAATGCAATATAAACACCATTATTTGCAACATTTTTAACAAATCCTCTTACAATATCTCCACGGTTTAAATCTTCTACCGTATTAATAACCTTGTCTTTAGCATCATCATTACGCAAGGAGACAGCAATCTTTTTTGAGTCTTCATCAACAGCTAAAACAGTAGCCGTACAGAAATCATTTGTGTGGAAAACATTGTCCAATTTTTCAGTATAATCGTTCAACGCATCAGTGATAAAGGAGGATGCAACGAGATTTTTACCTAATTCAACCAATACAAACGTGTCTCTAATCTTGAGAACTCTTGCAGGCAACTTATCACCGACCTTTACGTCTTTAATGGAGCCAACAGTACTGGTTCTTGCAGTCAAAACAACTGTATTATGATCATTATCAATATCCTTGACAGCGGCTTCAATAGCCATACCAATAGGTAACTTGTTTTCTACGTCATCAAAGACAGAAACATCATTGCTTAATTCCATAAATGAAATACGTCCTTTAATAGTTGGTGTAATGGAAACCCATACAAATCCTTTTGCAACGTTGTTGATGTAAGCAACCCATTTTGAACCTTCTGAAGTGTTAGATAAGTTTAACATATGATATGGCTGATCTGGGGTTTTCAATTCTTTTTCAAGCATGGACAATTCTAAAATGATATGCTTATTAGTTTTACGATGAGTGATTGGTAAAAATCTATGACTTTTTGCATCATGGAATCCAATAACTTTAACCTTAATTTTATCATTCTTGTGGAACTGCGATAATGGCTGTTTTTTATCTTTAATTTCAGACCATGAGTTGAAACATTGCGTGATGTCAACTCTTCCCTGCAAATTATCTGCCAATTGAACGTTCAATTGAGTACCTTTGATGGATTTAATGACTGCACTCGTAATAACACCAGGAGTATAATCACCAACGGTGGACTTAGTGGCATCAATTGGATTGATAACTTCCTCTGTGTTGGATGAATCTTTAGAATTTTCACTCTTTTTCAATGACAATAAAAATCTTTTGTTTTCTTCATCAATTCTAATTACACGGCAAGAGACAGATTGATACTTGTAAAATTTTTTGGACAAATCTTCATCAGGTTTATCAGTTGCATACTTAGCCAACACTAAACCAGTTAATTTACCAGCAAATGAGATAAACAAACCCATATTAGTTACAGATTTAATGTAACCATGTAACATCTTATTATCTACCTTTATATCTTTAAAGTATGCTGGAACTTCGTCATGCTTTGCTGCTTCAATCAAAGAAGCCTTAGCGGAAACAGTAACAGACCTCGATTTCAAGTCTTTTTCCAAAACTAAAACTTCAATTTTGTCCCCAATTGGTAATTTCTTGAAAATAGATCTATTCTGTTCATAATTACCATCAGATAAATGACCAGTAAAGATAACACCACGCAAATTGCTATTTTCCAATTCAACGATTACAGATTCTTTAGCCTTCTCAACGACAATTGCGTTGGCGATAGATCTACCTGGATACAAGTCAGTTATGGAGGCTTTTTGAGAATCACTCAAGTCAATCGATTGTCTTAATGTAACCATTAATCTTTGATCATCTTCGCTAACATTTAATATCTTGACATTTACAGTTTGTCCAATTTTCAAATGATCGCTTGCTTGATTCACAAATGTTTCGGAAATTTCATTCTTAGGTAAGTAAGCTCTTAAATTACCGAAGAATGATACGATAGCACCATTATGGACAAATTTCTCGACAGTTGCAGGTGATTTAAATCCAATAGCGGCCTTATCAAAGCTAGTCAAAATTTCATTGTCTTCGACATTTACTAATGACTTTTTCAAAGTAATAAACAATTTTTTACCTTGCTTTCTTAAGACTCTACCCTTAATTTTACCGCCAGCCTTGAATTTTCTTTCAGGATAGACTAACCTGACGTCGGACATATGATTTCCTGGGACCAAAGCCTCAAAACCATTGAAAACTTTAACGATAATTCCAGCTGAATCTGGCAAAACCTTGACAATTTCACCGCCGTTAACAAATTCACCAACTGGTATGTCATCAGTAGTCAAAAACTTGGAATCAATTAATTTTGGTTCCATAGTTAAGACCAATAAGTTTTCCATCGAATTATAACCAATTACTCTGGCTCTATGCTTTGAGCCAACAGAATAATCAATTTCCAAATTTTTCAGAGGATCAATTTTAGAATTGTGGACTTGACCATGTAAAGAAGAAGATCCAAAACTAACAAAAACATAGTTAGGATCGCTTCCTTTCACTTCGACGTCTTCAAATATGTGACCTATAGGAAAAGCATCCAAAGCATTAGATTCATCCGATGGACTGGATGAAAAAGATATTATATGAGGTAATTGAGACAACATTAATCTTTTAGTGCCACTCTTTAATAAAATACCGGTAACCCTAGCCTTTATATTATTACCAATTGTATACTTATGCTTTAAAGTTTGTAAATCGAAATCGTTCAAATTTGGCAAGTTGATAGTACCATCGACTAAACCAAATACCTTTGTGATAATACCATTTTTCGTAATATCAGACACTAATGCATCTACTAAGATACCCGGTTCAATAGCATCTACCGACGAAATTGCTGATACTGAGACTTTCTTGGATGTGGAGTTGGATTGCACTGGTCTCAAAGTAATTGTTCTTGATGATGGCCTTGATACTATACTTGTCAATAGAACATCACCAACCTTCAAGTCTTCAGCTTCGATATCTTTACTATTCTTTAACTCTTTATTAGATATGAAACCCGAAAAGTTTGATCTACCAACATTCAAAATAACACCATGATCCTCAATAGATTTTATAGAACATTGTAACAAGTTTCCAGGAGTAAGGTCTTCATCCTCTAAAGTGGAATTAACAACCTGCGGCTCAATGGATAATTGGATTCTTTTCTTTTTACTATCATTTGAAGACTTGACAACGTTAGCTCTTAACCATTGTCCGATTTTGAAAATGTCCTTTAAGACAGGGAATTCAGCGCTTTTGGTCTTTAATGTTGCGGTCTGTATTTCTTGGTCCTTTTCTTCATCATCGTATTGCAATTCTTCATCGTCTTCGCTATCGTCGTCTACTTCTTCAAACTTTTCGATTTGCTCGGTGATCTCTTCACTTATGGACGTGATTGGAATGTAACCAACCAAATTATCACCTAAGCTTAATGTCAAATCTAATTTGCCAATATTAGTAATTTGACCCAACACTTGGGTGCCTGGGATCAAATTCTTAAAACTAAAATTTTCAATTTGTACATTCGATTTTTCTTCTTCGTCTTCGTTGGATGTCTTGGTTGTCTTCTTCTTAGATCCCTTCTTAGACTTCTTAGATGGTTGCTCTGATTTGGATGAGCTCGATCTCTTGGATGCACTAGAAGCTTCGAAAAGAACGTCTTTTGTTGCTTCATTGGAGATGTCCTTAATTTCTAAAGCCGATAAAGCAGTAGCACCTCCTCTAGGAAAGGCAACATCACTACTACTTATAACAGATTTGGATGGTGAAGGATCCGCCATGCTGTCCTATCTATTAATATATGATTCTAGAAAAAAGTGTAGTGGATTAACAAACGCTTCGGTTATAGTCTTTGTTCAATTTTTTTCACCATCACCATGTCATCGTAGATTTTTTTTTTTAGGAAAAGTTTTTGGAATCACGTGACCAAAGCATCGCAGGTACTACTATCACTAGGTACCCCAACTATTGGAGACTAGAGGTCCTTGGGATTGTATAGGATATGAATGTGTGAAAGAAGAATCATTCGAGCAGTAGCAGTTTGGACATTTATGTTGGTTGATTTAAACTAGTTTTGTACTTTCTTAAGCGGTTGTTAGTGTAGTTTAGCATATTTTGCACCCTAATAGTAGAACTATGTTGGATTGAAACTACGGAAGTCAAAAACAGCTGAAATTCTCTATAAATATGTTTATTAACTTTTGATAAACAGTGTTCAGCAGAATAGTGGCTATAGAATTATTTAATTCTTCTATTATTTACTGAACCTGTTTCTTTCCGTTCTCTCATAATCTTTGCAGCTTCTTCGGCATTGTACTTCTTAGCTAATTTAGAATAAAACAACCCGCAAGCATTACAGAGTGTTCTATTACCATCCAAACCTTTTCTCCATTCGGGGGTGCTTTTTGAACCGCAGTGGTTGCAACGGATCTCTTGTCGTACGCTCAAGTCGGGATTTAGAGCACCAAGATCAAGAGGCGAGATTGAAGAACCTGAATATAGGGTTTGCTTTTTAATTTCTAGAGGAACTATACTACCACCAATATCAAGAACTGTAGGTTCAACCTTGGTTACAGAGTCAGCGGTGCCTAAACTGGCTTTCCGTCTCTTATTCGGCGCCTTATTGCTTGCAGATGATTTACGAGGTGGCGACAATACGCTTGAGTACAGTGGTTGCAGCTTTGGAGACGACGTTTTCGCAAGTGATTTTTTTGCAAGCGATTCTTCTTCTTTAGTGTATTGTAATATCATAGCTTTGAAGTTTTTCAATGTTGCAACATTATCGTTATATTCCATTATGAGCTTGTCAATGCTCTGTGGGGGTGTATTTAAGATGAACTGTTTGACCGATTCATGAGTAATAAACTTTGGTTGATTTTGGCTGGTAATGTAGCCATGCAACACTTTGGATCCTTCGATGATTCTTTCAGGTGCTTGCTCAACTAATGTCAAATAGTTATCTCGAATGACTCGCATTTCATTACTATGGGAACTAGATTCCAACATTTTACCCAACGACGATAATAGGTGCTCTTCATCATTTATTCGAGTAGATTCTCCAGATATATCAGTATAACCAATATTTGGTAAGGATATGCTTTTTGAATGCATAGGGCGTTGTTTGTCTACTGGAGAAATCACATCAGAATCTTTTGTGGGAAATCTATAACTGCTATACCTAAAATCTCGGTTCCCATACGAATACGTTCGATTACTATTATCCACTGATTCTTCTGTCTTTGATTTTGGACTGGTCAAATCACCGCCTGAAACTGGTTGAGTTATTATTGTGGGAGGTAGTTCTGAAGATGATGACCTCAATGTCTTCGGTCTTGTATTCTCCTGTCTAGGATAATGACCGAAGGACTGAATTAATTCTGAGAAGGATGGTAGCCTAAACGTTAGTATTCATCAAATTTAACTAAATATTCAAATAACACATACCTCCTATGCTTTGACGTGGGGTCGCCGTCCTTATTCTTACTCATTATGACACAGTAATTAGTAGAAATTTGCTCAAATTGAGAATTACCATAAATGACAATATTCTATGTTAATATATAGGTAGGCAATATTTAACCTGGTATCAACTATGTGCTTAAAAGAAGCTGTTACTATGTATTAGTTTAAATTAATATATTATTTAATTCTTGTTTGTATGGGCAAGTTGACCACAAAATAATTTTTGCAATCGTATCTTTGCGAATTTACGGCGACCTACATAAATCTACATATGACATTACACATTATAATACCATTTTAAGATTCTTATTATAACCCTTAATATTAATATATATTCTAAGCGATTAGAATATTTTTATACGGAAATTAGTGCTAATTGTGCCTTATTTATTCTTCTTACTTTTTGGTCTAGATCTTCTAGAACTTTGACTTTGCTGTATGACTACAGTTCCGTCTCGAACATCATCAGGCTCATTCTTGAATTTTTCTTGACTTTCTAAATAAAACATCAAATCATTTACTTGCTCTGTTAGGTCTTTATTTTGATTTGACAATTGCTTATTCTCATCTGATAGATATTCTATTTTTGACGAAAGACCATCATTTAAAGAATTTGAATTATTTAGCTCCTTTGTTAATGCATTTATTTTTTCATCTTTGATAGCAATTTTGCTTTTCATAGATGGTATGACGTTTGTAGTAAGATCAGTAAACTTTGCGTTCATTTCTTCAAATTTAGCTTCTAGATCCTTGATAGAGTTTTGGTTGGACGTTGTATCTGATGCAAAAGATCCACGATGAGACCTGGAGGCCCCTCTATCATTTATAAGAGCCTCATAATATTCCCTTTGACTAGCCAATTGACTGATTAATAACTGCGAGTATTCAAACCCAACCTCATCAACCTTATCAAAATTGGGATTGGTGTTGTTTGATTTGAAGTTAATGTTGGAGTTGCCAAAGCCACTGAATTGACCATTAATACTGTTGTATGTTTCTTTTTCAGGTAATTCAACCAATTTTCCATCTGATTCGTTTGCTACGAGCCTATGAACGTAATTATCACCTGCATAATCCCATACTCTAGATGTGTTAAGTTCCATCGCAAAGCAATGACCGGTATTAATAAAATGCTTAAGAGAATGTTGTTCTGGTGCATATCTATCACAACCTAGATTGCCACAAATAAGGCAAATCCAAAGATTGGAATCAACATGACATTCGAAACAACGTTCTTCACTTCCAAAATTAGATGTCCCGTCATTCGATGCACCGAATGAGTTTGAGGGTCCCGGTAAAGGTGTATGTTGCGATCTAGAGGAGCTAAATTGCAGAAGCCGTCTAATTGACCTTCGTATTTTCTGATTTGATACATTATTAGAATAACGACATATGGGACAGGTATCATCTTTCCATTTGGAAAGACATTGGCAATGGAAAGTATGTTGGCAGGGTATAGTTAACAATCCAGTAACAGCCGAGTCCATTCTTTCTAAGCATACCGGACATGTAGGCAATTCCATTAGAGTTCCACGGGTATGCGTTTTAAATATAGCCGATGATTTGGGATTGGGACTATTAGGAAGGGATACTGGTGGTGATGTGAAGGGATCATTCAACAAGAATGGTATCAAAGACTCTGAAGTCTCGGAAGAAATATCATCCATTTGACCACTTGCATCAAATCTCACTGACTTGACAAACACAACATGGCATGCTTCTGGTTCCATGGAATTAAAAGGCTTGCCGTTGTATTTCAATTGAAATTCGGCTGTTTTTAAGATGTCATTGAATTTTATCAAAACTAGAAACCTATTTGGCTTTTCACTTTTTAAAATCCTTAAATGCGTAATGTACTTCATATACGAGTCACCAATGAAGCCCAATAAGTCAGTTGCCGTAAAGTATGTAGGTACGGCAATTATTGAAACCATTGTATCATCACCCTCTGTTGCATTCGGCTCAGAAGATGGCTCTGGCGAAGCTGATGATATGGGAGATAAAAATTCCAGAGAAGTTTCGTCTTCTTCAAACTCCCTGTATAAGCGAATATTACCATCGCCCAAGAACTTTGCCTTAAGGGGTTCAATGTCGTTTTTGACCATCTTGGACCTGTTCTCACTTGATGTATCAATTGCCGTAACTTCGATTGGAGAATATCTATAATCTAATAATGAATGGTTATCTTGCGATTCTGGTATTTCAATGACAATATGATAAGAATCAGTTCCTATCATTATTTGACTTTAATGAACCAAGCTTTGACAAGTACTCTTCCGATTGTCTGTATAATGTTATTCTATAGATAGCTAAGTACACACTTGATGCTCAAAGTGCGTACAATTACCATATCTGTACTAACAGTTTATAATGTACATACAATGTATATCTATACTTCGTTTATTTAACTATAGAGAATACTTTGATTTATCAAAATGAACAAGACTCTTTAATATTTCACCACCATTACCAATAACAATCTTTTCTTCTCCATCTAAAACTTTAAGTGCTTGCGCATCTGGTATCCAAATTACGTATGAGTTTGCAGCAATACCTGACTTCACACCTGGTATACCATCTTCAAAAATAAGACATTCCTCAATCAATATGGCTTCCAAACCTTGTTCTTCTCTTTCTTTATTGAGACTGTTCAAACATGCAAACCAAATATCAGGGTGTGGCTTTCCTCTTCCAGGTGGAATTCTTTCATCATCTCCAGTAACAACATGTGGTCCAAACAAATTAAAACCGTGCTGCAAATGCGCTGTCTTTTTGTTGAAGTTGTACGAATTAGAACTGGTTCCAAGGGCAATAGGAACCGAATTATCATACAAATACTGTAACAATTCTAAAGCACCCGGTAAGAATTTAGAATCCTGCCACCTGTTCTTTTGCTTTTCGACGGCTAGTTGACTAAATTCTTCAGGCGTGAGTGATAAATCATACTCTTTGAGGATAATTTTAACTGCTTCTGGACCGGGTCTTCCTTGTAACTTAATCTTAACGTCCCATGTCAATGGTCCTTTACCAAAATCATTCAATATCTCAGTTGTACATTGAGTATATATATCTTCTGTATTAAGGATAGTACCATCCATGTCTGTACTGTTAATATCATGCTGAATCAAATTAAAGAGGAAATATCAGTTACTATTGTAAAAAATGAAAAAAAATAGGTTTCTACGTACCAAAAAGACATGCTTTGATGTTTTTAGGACTAAAAGTTAGTTTTCGGTTTCGAAAGTCTCATATGCAAAGAAAATATTACACTTACAACTGAGTCATATTAAGTGAATGTATTTCGTAGATACGATAGTATATGCTAAGAATGGAGTATAGATCGTGGAGTTTTTAGTGAAGAGTTCTGATTTTCGGCAAATACCCCATTACATAAGCACGAACAATATGGTTACTATCCATATTCTTATCTTTTGTTGCAATACAAATGATACAGTAGGTACAGTTAAGGTACAGTTAAGGAAATGAATATTCATACTTAAGAGGAGCCTATAATGGAGCATTTTTAAATAAATAAGAGATACTTTCACCATTATGCAATCTTCTGATAGCTTCTGCCAATACTGCAGAAACGTCAATGGTGTCTAGCTTAGGACAAAGTTGCAACTTTTCTTCAAATGGAACAGTGTTAGTACAAACAACTTTAGTTAATTTAGAGTTGTTGATGTTTTTGATTGCGTTACCAGACAAAATTCCGTGAGTAACAATAGCAATAACTTCTTTTGCACCATTATCCAACAAAACTTCAGCAGCTTTAGCTAAAGTACCACAAGTATCAGCCATGTCATCTACGATGACAGAAATCTTGTCAGTGACATCACCGACTAACACCATCTTGGACACTTCGTTAGCTCTGGCTCTTTCTTTGTGAATCAAGGCAAAATTTAAATCTAACCTGTCGGCTAAACCTGCAGCCCTTTTAGCACCACCAGCGTCAGGAGAAATGATGATTGCATCTTTATAGTTAATAGATTCTTTGATATATCTTACCACACTTGGCTCGGCATATAAATTGTCCACTGGAACATCGAAAAACCCTTGGATTTGGGAGGCATGTAAGTCCATAGTAATAACATGGTTACACCCCGAGGTTGTCAACATATCCGCCATCAACTTAGCAGTAATAGGGGCCCTGGATTTATCCTTTCTATCTTGTCTGGCATACGGGAAGTTAGGCAATATCACAGAAATTCTTCTTGCACTGGCGGTTTTACAAGCATTTATCATGATCAACAATTCTATAACTCTGTCATTAACCTCTCCTGATCCAATCTGACAAATGATGAAGATGTCTTCATCTCTAACTGATTCTCCAATGGAAAATTGAACTTCACCTGTTGAATCTCTTTTCAATTCAGAGGGGGTCAATCTCATACCCAATCTTTTGGCAACTAATTCAGCCAAGCCTCTATGAACATCACTGGCTAATAATTTGATGGAGTTCGTAGACATCGTTATAAGGTTTCAAAATGTAATATAATGAAAAAATTCTTGGTGAGCAAGGATCAACAAAAATGGATAAACTCAACGGAAGAAACTAGGGTCAACAATCAACTAAATTAGCTGGAGGAACTATATGTCTTTTTTTGAACAAGAGATACTTGACTTTGTCTCTATTAAACTCATAAACTTTCCTTCAAACCCATCCTGCAACGGATCGTAGTCAAGATTTTTTTTTATTATGTCAATGCGATGTTCGTGAGACATTTTTACACAGGAGAGACAATGTCGTATAAATAAGTATATACCTAGAATAAATCATCTATATCGTCAAGATTATCATCAGGTGTACCATTCTCGTCTTCTTGATCATCATGATCATCAAGATATTGGTTGGATTCAAAATTTTCAGCGTTAGAATCTCTGTTTGGATCCATTTTCTGTTGTAATTGCTGTTGATCGCTGACGATTTTGGCCAATTCTCTTTTCTTGGTATCTAATGAAGCCTTCAAGGTGTTGTAACTTGTTTGGAACTTCATTTTCATCATCTTGTGAGTAGCAGACGCAAGCCCTTTTCTATGAACCTCCACAGCATTCTCCAAATCAGCAATTTCTTCTTCTAGCATCTTCACGTGCTCTTTATCTGCCTTTGATTCATCATCTTCGTCATTTTCATCATTTTCATCATCATCATCATCCTCATCATCTTCATCGTCTTCATCGTCTTCCTCTTCTTCCTCTTGACCCTCTTCTTCTTCTATACCTTCTCCATCAACCTCATTGTCCATATTTATATCACCTACCATAGTTTCGTCATTTTCAAGTGCTTTCGCCAATTCTTCTTCCAAGTCACCTTCATCACTTTGAGCGAGCATCTCTTGGTCATCTTCGTCTTCACCTCCATTATTGAATTGCGCTTGTAAGTCTGTTGGAGCTGCCAGGGGAGTTGCCACAGCAGAAGGCGTACCGCTAATATTAGTGAATCTGTGTTGATTGGTTTGTTGTTTAGTCAAGTCCACAATTTCAAAGTGGCTCTCTTCAGCTTCATCATCGAGCCTAATCAATTCGTCAATTCTTTGCTCTATATCTTCAACCACTCTATGATTAACTTTACGTGGCTTGAATCTCCGGTGGACCTCTTCAAATGGGTATATAAGACCATTTTTGAACACTGTCTTACTTGGTTTCAATTCATGTTTTGGAGACATCTTATAAAGAGGGTGTACATGTATCAAGTCACTAGGGACTTCAAAATCTCTCTCCAAATTCAAATCTGATGGATTCACCGGGTGCAACACTAATAATATTTGACATAGGTCAAAAGTCTTAAATATGTTCTTCTTATCAACAGTTTTATATAACTCCGTAATAGTTGGCAAGTCAAGTAATTTTGCTGAATATAATGTCCCGTTAACATTAACAACTGCTTTCACTTTAGTCACCCATTTAATGTTTAAACCTGTCAAATCACCAGATTCGACTGCATTATGTACAAAATCTAAATTTGCATCGTTTAGGAATCGTATTACTATACCTTGTTCGATCAATGGGTCGTCTTCAAGATCCGGTGCCTCAGAGTCGTATCCATCACCTGGTACCCTCGTTGGCTTTATTCTAACCTTAGGAACAGACCTAGTAGGCTGTGCATTTCCTCGTATACCTATATTATCTATTTCTGGATTCTTTTGCTTTATGTTGAGTTTTAGCTTCTTATGCTTTTCTTTAGTTCCTGCTAGTTGATGCTTCTTACTAACTTTGTCCCCCTTTTGAGTTGGTGCTTTTATTTTAAGTTTCGGACGCCCCGATGGACTGCTTTGATTATTACTCCCATTAGATTGAGGTGGACCAGCAGAAGGTACCTTAAGTTTCAACTTCAATGCCATGTTGCATAGATTCAATATGCTTGTTCATCAAGACTGTTTTTGTAAATTTTAGGTGGAATTGAAATCACATGATTAGCAAATTAAATATGAAATAAGTACGTCAAAAAGATGAATCTACTCTTCAAGCAACTGAGGTTGAAGAATCGCCATAATGGGACTGTCATCTAGAAATGTTCATCATCCACCAAGAAGTAGAAGATCTTCATCGATAGACCGGAGATCTCGTCATAACTCGATTTCTTCCTTGGATTCATCGACTAGCTTCTTGATCGATGACAACAACCATGAAATGTTTTCGGGTGCTGCTTCGGAAATTATACCGTCGTCTATTACTTCTTTACACTATCCTCATCACTTCGGAAGGCTTAAGAGTCGCCATGGGTCCAGCGTGTCTAGGGAGACCTCACCATTGTTGGAAACTGATTATAATCAAGCGATAGATCTTGAGTCAGTTAAATCTAATGAAAGTAACCATTCCTATGACACTCAAAGAGGTTTCAAGTTCTTTTCACCCGATGAAATTGAACTGGCACCAGGTGGATCGACTTTGGAAAACCCCGAGGATCCCATCGATTACAATACTAATTGGGATTATTCTGTCGACAAGTATACCGAGGAAGAACCTATAGAGTTAGACGAGGGCCCATCTCTTTTTCATACCCAGCCAGGAAGCTCTAGCAAATATATGCAACAAGATAATGAGGATATGGAAAGTAGTTACGGATCGTTAAATTCCAACTCAGCTTCACACTTTGAACGCCGTAACAGAAGTGATTCTGGTGATTCTGATAAGAGCGACTCATTAATTAGTGAAAATATGGATTATGATAGAGGTGAAGAAACTCTCAAGGACTACCCAGCTGTTTCGAAATATCAGAGGTTCTACTTAGCAGAAGAAGATTTGGTTATTGGTATTGCAGGGTATACTAACTGTTTATGGAAAAAGGCATTATACTATCTTATTTGCATTGCAACATTAGGATTAGGATACTTGGTTTTGAGATGGTTCCCCAAATACAAAGTAAATTTAAGAGGGAATCAATCTCCATTAGGAAAAGCAGATTGGTGTGTAATTGAGAATGAATTTGGTGAATTAATCATAGTAAATGTTATTAAACAGAAACATAATGAGAGACTTTCGCATTTTTTGACGGTCTATGAATCAGAGAAAGATACAGAAGAAAATGGAAAAATCGATTCATTTGATCAGAAACAAACAGATCCAATTATTCCTTATATGCATTCGTTTACTTATAGATACATCAAATTTTTTTACAATCCCGTGGAAGATATGTTCAAGAATAATTCTAATTGGTACGATGCCCATTGGCTTAATCTCAAAAATACCAGAGAAGGAGTTTCACAATCAACTCAAGAGCAGAGATTAAATATCTTCGACGAGAACACGATTTCTATAGAGGAGAAGACAATAACCCAATTATTAATGGATGAAGTGTTGCACCCATTCTATGTTTTCCAAATTTTCTCTATCATCCTTTGGTTAGAGGATGATTATTATTATTATGCATCTTGTATTTTTTTCATCTCTGTCATTTCAATTGCGAACTCCTTGCTTGAGACTAGAACAACGATTAAGAGATTGCAAGAAATTTCAAAATTTTCTTGTGAAGTTAGGGTTTGGAGAAATGGGTTTTGGAAACAAGTTGAATCAAGCGAATTAGTTCCTGGTGATGTATTTGAAGTTGACCCTTCACTTAACGTAATGCCCTGTGATGCCTTATTAATTAACGGTGAATGTGTTATCAATGAGTCGATGTTGACTGGTGAGAGTGTTCCTGTCACTAAAGTAAGTGCAACAAGCGAAACTGTTCAATATTTGCCTGAAAACTTCATGGTTCCAATGTTAGCTAAGTCGTTTTTATACAATGGGACTAAATTATTGAAAATGAAGTCTGCAAATGATGAACCCGTTACTGCTATGACAGTTAAAACTGGTTTTAACACCACTAAAGGGTCATTAGTTCGTTCCATGTTATTTCCTAAACCAACAGGGTTTAAATTTTATGAAGATTCTTTCAAGTATATCGGGTTCATGCTCATGATTGCAGCCATTGGATTTACTTATTCAACATATAATTTTATTAAATTAGGCATTCCTAAAAGAATAATGATATTAAGAGCATTAGATATAATCACTATTGTTGTTCCACCTGCTTTACCAGCAACCTTAACTATTGGTACTACATTCGCAATTAATAGATTAAAGAAATTTCAAATCTTTTGCATTGCCCCTACCAGGGTGAATATTGGAGGCAAATTAGATGTTATGTGTTTCGATAAGACAGGAACATTAACAGAAGATGGACTAGATGTATTAGGTATACACTTGGCTAATAATGCTAGAGGTAGAAAGGAAATCGTCTTTGAAGATATGGTCGAAGATATTAAATTTTTAAACACTGAATCTATGCGTGTAGGTGAACACGAAACTGATAACGGCAAATTTTTGTTAGGTGGAATGGCAACCTGTCATTCTTTGAGATTAATTGATGATGAACTATTAGGTGATCCACTTGACGCCAAGATGTTTGAATTTACTGGATGGAATTTTGAAGAACAATCAGATGGCTCAAATCCAATAGTGTTCCCTAAGTACGAAAGCGATGGGTATAGAATCATGAAGGAGTATGAGTTTATCTCTTCCTTGAGAAGAATGTCAGTTATTGTTAATGATGGGAAAGATAATAGATTCGTGTTTACCAAAGGTGCACCTGAAGTGATGTCTGATATTTGCCATCAGGAAAGTCTACCAACAAACTACGAAGAGTTGTTATACAAATATACCCATAGTGGGTTTAGAGTCATTGCTTTAGCATATAAACAGTTAGATAGAGCGGAAAAGAATATCAATAATCTTTCTAGAGATCTAATCGAATCTGATTTGACTTTTAGTGGATTCATCGTTTTTGAAAATAAATTAAAAGATTCAACAAAGCCAACATTAAATAGATTAAGTGAAGCCAAGATCAGAACAGTTATGTGTACAGGAGACAATGTCTTGACGGCTATAAGTGTTGCCAGAGAATGTGAATTAATAGAGCCGTGGGTTGAACATATCTATATTCCAACATACCAAGAAGGAAATAACGAGACCAATCTTGTATGGGAGGATTTTAACAACCCAGAGAATAAATTGGACCCTATTTTATTGAAGCCATTAAATTCAAGTACCGGCAATGAAACTAGCATTGGCAAACACGATACGTATAAATTGGCGATCACTGGTGATGTATTCAGATACTTGTTGGTTGATGTTAAAAACCCAGCAATTATTCAAAGGATGTTGATGAAGTGTGACATATTTGCTCGTATGTCACCCGATGAGAAGCATGAATTAGTTGAACAACTTCAGAAGATTGATTACACCGTGGGTTTCTGCGGTGATGGGGCCAACGATTGTGGTGCATTAAAGGCAGCAGATGTGGGAATTTCGCTATCAGAAGCGGAAGCATCAGTAGCAGCCCCTTTCACGTCCAGAGTATTTGAGATTTCGTGTGTATTGGATATCATCAAAGAAGGTAGGGCCAGTTTGGTCACTAGTTTCTCGTGTTTCAAGTACATGTCTTTATACTCTGCTATCCAATTCATTACCGTGAGTATCCTTTACAAGAGAGGTACCAACTTGGGTGATTTCCAATTCCTTTATATTGATTTATTTTTGATCTTACCATTGGCTATATTCATGTCGTGGTCTAAGCCATTTGACAAGATAGTAGTGAAGAGACCTACTGCCAATCTTGTATCACCTAAGGTTTTGGTTCCATTATGTTGCAACATTTTAGTGTTATTATTTTTCCAAGTATTTTTATGGTTATTTGTCCAGACTCAACCATGGTACATAAAGCCCATTCCCGCAGGAGATGATGATGTCATGTCTTCCGATAACACCATACTCTTCTTATTCGCAAATTTTCAGTACATCTTAATCGCTGTTGTTTTGAGTATCGGTCCTCCATACAGACAATCCTTTGTATCCAACTACCCATTCTTGATCAACTTAGGTGTGTGTACCTTAGTTTCTACGTTGATATTCACCATCGACCAACACTCATGGTGGGGTGAAGTCATGCAACTTACGAACCTCTCGACCCCATTCTATGGCTTGATTATGGTGTCAGCAGTATTAAACTTAGGTATAATGTGGATGGGAGAGCATTACTGGTTCAAGTCATTGGCATCGATATACAAGAGAACGTTTCAAAGATACAAGCTTGAACGTAGTAGTAAGACATTCAAAAATTTGCAAGCAGAAGATAACCTACAGACTGTATAATCGTATATACACGACCATAGTTAAGATATTATTTTTTTACCTGAATTTCGCTTCCATTGTTGTCCCACTCCGAAAAAGTGGTGCTGTTCATTTATTTTGTAATTTGTATATTGTATTCTCAACGATTATTACACCTCTTTCGTAAGCTTTTTTAATATGTGACGGTTAGTATACACTGCAATTATAAATAATGTTGGTCCTCTGATAGTACCACTTTTGTCATCAATAAACCCGCGAGTCATATGTGGATTGCTGTCAGGTAAAGCCTCTCGGTTCGGAGTCTACGAGATATAATAGTCCACGATCACATTCGCGTGGGGTTGCAAACGTTCGTGGCCTACGTGTTGTCCCCAGATTTGGTGATATTTTTTTACCCTATTGTACGCGGCATTCAAGAAACATAGGTCGGACCGAGAGTATATCTTTTGTCACACCATTTTTATTCACACTATTATCTATCCACACCATTTATTATCCCACTTTTTTGCTATGCAGAATGCTATGCAGTTGAAAGTATCGTTCTAACATTTGTAAGCTGCGCTAATTTCTAGTTGGTTTTCTAGTGAACCAAGGATGTAATGATGCACTCGTAGCATTTTCCATAAGCCGTTAAAAAGGGTCATAATGGAGATGAAAAGTTCAACAACTCCGGGAGAAAGTCCCAATGTGGCAAATAAGCGAGCGGGTGGAACCAATACCCAGAAAAATTCAATCTCGTATACATATGTGCAAGAAATTCGCTACAATGCCCAATAAAATTCTAATTCGATTTGTGGGGTCATCACACCGAAAAAATATATATAGTCCAGGAAAATCAGCAGACGGAAGTAATTTATACAATCTTCACTTAACATTATTACACCCTTTGTTATACTGTTATATCATATTTATTATATTATATTCTACTATATTTATTTAATTTGAATTTACTGGTATATTAAACCGTTCAAGAATAAATAAGCAATTTATCCACAAATATTCACTATGCCAGCTTCAACAGAATCAGCTCACAGCTTTAAGAACGAGCAAGTAGAATCGAGTCCTAGTATCGCTGAACCCGTTGCAAAGGTTCAAGAGGCAGGGGACGGAAATGAATTCCTTATTATTGGAGGGAAGAAGTACTATAAACATGAATTAATGACTGCTTTTGGTGGTACGCTTAACCCTGGTTTAGCCCCACCACCAGTCAATCTGTTTGCCAATCCAGCACCATTAGGATTGTCTGCTTTCGCATTGACCACATTTGTTCTTTCGATGTACAATGCTCAAGGAATGGGTATTAAGACACCTAACGTGGTTGTCGGGTTAGCGTGCTTCTACGGGGGTGCGGTGCAATTTTTTGCTGGATGTTGGGAAATGCTCGTTGGTAACACCTTTGGTGCCACTGCATTGACATCTTACGGAGCTTTCTGGTTGTCTTACGCTGCCATCAACATCGAAGCGTTTGGAATTGCTGCTGCTTACGAAGATGAAATTATGCTTAAGAATGCAGTGGGGTTCTATCTTATAGGCTGGGCCTTATTTACGTTCATTTTGACCTTGACCACTATGAAATCGACAGCCGCATTTTGTGCATTATTCGCCTTTTTAACTATTACATTCATCTTGTTGGGTGCGGGTGACTTGACGCAAAAGGTCAATGTATCTAGAGCTGGAGGTGTCACTGGCGTAATTACTGCGTTCCTTGGGTTCTATAACGCATTCGCTGGTACTGCCAACAAGCAGAACTCTTACTTCACTGCGTACCCAGTTCCATTGACCAGAAAGTAAACGCGGCTGGTATTTGTAGTGCCGCGTATGCACAGTGAATTTGACGATAAACGAGTGGTGTACGAGACAATCTAACATAAGAGGCGGGTTTGTTTCATAGACACAGGTGTCGAAACTAATTATTTATACTTCTATTTATTATGTTTAACGATAATATATTATGATTTATTTATTAAGTGAACTATGAATCGAGATGAAGTCCTTTTTTGTGTTGTAGCCAAATGTTCGGTGCAGTTTCTTCGATGCACTGTTTCGATGCAAACCTCCTTATAATTAGTAGCCTTCAAAAATATCGGCAACAGCTAATGCTATCTATGTACATGGCTTGGTCATATGTCGGTTCTATTTCTATTTACCATCAATTACTCTATGTCTTTACACCAAAGAGGTACCAGTCTGGTTTACTTGTAGACTGCCCAATCAACTACAACGTTGCAGTGGAGGAACGAATTTGGGGGATATTATACTGCACATAAATCGGGTAAAAATATGATTTTAATCTTGACTAAATTGGCCCCACGTGCGCACCCATCAAGTCATTATCGTTATCCATATATACTAGTGGTAATTTTTCAAAAGATTTTATACTTGTTCATCAATTCTTCATCAATGTCATCCCAAAATAAGAGAATTGCTTTACCAGCTCGAGTAGAACCAAAAGTGTTCTTTGCCAATGAAAGAACTTTCTTGTCATGGTTGAATTTCACCGTTATATTGGGATCCTTAGGAGTTGGTTTGCTTAACTTTGGTGACTCAGTCGGTAGAATCTCAGCCGGTTTATTCACTTTCATTGCCATGCTTACTATGATCTATGCGTTGATTACATACCACTGGAGAGCTAAGGCTATTAGGATGAGAGGTTCGGGTCCATATGATGACAGATTTGGGCCTACGATGTTGTGTATTTTCTTGTTGGTTGCGGTTGTGATCAATTTCATTTTAAGAATCAGAGCATAAGATAGGAGTTTCCTTTATAACAGCACCACATAGTGTCCCAAAGAGCCACATGTTGAGCAGAAGGTGTATTTAATTTAGTATAGTGGGTGTATATTTATCCTGTTTAATGTATATTTAGCATGTCATCTCAACGAAATAATAGCGATAATAGAACGTCGAATTTATATGTAGGCCAATGTCACATAATAAAGCGTGGTAGAATAAGCGATGCGGTAAAGATCGCTAGTAGATGATGATCGTATGTAGATAAGGAGTAATTTCAAAAGCCAAGAGTCAGCTGTCAAGCATCACTCGCGATAGTATTTTCGCTTTACGTCCCGGTATTTCGTTAGAAAGTACAAGGATTCCAATTCTAAAGTAGTTAGTATAGTAGAGTACAGACCAAGAAAGCATTGTTCCTACATACCTTTAATAATGTACTCTCCCTTTTCCAATGCAGCTGTTAAGTCCTTTTGGGTGCTCACTGGCGTGTTAACGAACTGGTCCTTTAATTGGCGGCGAAACTTTTGGTATCCCCCCAGACCAACAGGGTAGTCCTTGCCCATGTAGATAAGTATTTTATATAATTGACGGACTTGAGAATTCATATTAGAATTATTAGTTGACACGGAATACCATAATATGGTTTGATACGTTTAAGCTCGCATTATCGCATTTTGAGAAATCAACAAATATTCAGTGTTATCTTAGAGTTCTTTATAACGATAATATGACAGCATCCGAGCCCCTTTCTAAGCTCAATAGTATCACGTCGGATAGCTTCGAGTACAAGCCTTCGAAAGTGGTTGCTCTTTTCCTAATAAATTTTGATGTGAGGCGTGGCTATCAACTAGTATGGTCTAAGCAAGTCAAAGGTCGACCACCCATTGAATTGAATGGTTTAGATTATAAAGTCTTACCATCGGGGATACAGGAACATGATAATAGTACAGTTTTCATAAGTCATTCTTGCGAAAATACAGTGTACTACGGGTTAGGAAGATTTCGTCAAAAGATAGTGGATGCTAATAATGAGACAAGTCAAATTAACCGAGATGATGTTAAAATGTATTCCTTAGGGATTCTTTGTGAATCCACACCTAATCCCATGTGGAGATCTAACGAATTCATTAATAACGGTTGGGAATACATTGATAGGTTAGATAGTGGCCTTGAGAAGTTCCTCAAGGGAAATGTTTATGACAACTTTGCCATATTTGATGAAGTTTTCGATAATGTGACAAATACACATTTGAGAGTGGGAAAGCCCAATGTCAACATTAACAATCACCTTCTAAGCAAATTGCCCTTAATGTTCCAGTCATTAGGTCCATTAGTATTTTCATTATTTAAACAATGCTTATTACGCAAGAAGATATTAATATTTCATCAAAATCATAGCAAAATCGATAATTTCAGTCTGGGTGCCTTTACATACTTATTATCCCTATTATCGGCAGTACCCAATGATATGAAGATCTATAGTGATGCATTGACATACTCACAGCCCTTATATAACATTGGATTAAATGACTTGAATAGCTCGTTGCTTGGATTACCAGCAACTATAGCTACAACGAATGATGATATATTGATGTACCAGAAAGACCTTTATGACTACGCGTTATTTTTGCCTAACGAAGAGTATGGGAATTCATATATCCTAAAATCAGACACGATAGTGAACAGCATGAAAAGTCCCTTAGACTTCCTTAACCAAAGAGTTAAAGCTACTCTCAAGGATTACCATAAATTCAAGTTAATATATAAGCAATTGTTAACGAGAACCCGCAGCCACACAACGAATGCGTCGACGGATGACTTGGCCTCAATTAAGACATCTAATTCAAATGTCTCATCTAGAGGCTGGGGATTTAGCTCCCAAAAGGATGAGGCATACTTGGAAGCAGAACCTACCTGGTGGTTAGACTCTGCTACCTGCCCCATTTCATGGAGAGAATATGTTTGGTCTGCATTTTCGTGGTTTGCATCTGCTGGTACAGTTAGCGAAGATTCAAATACGTTAGAAACTAACGATGATCATCCATCAAGACCAATCAACAATGACGAGTCTGCCCTTAATGAGGAGGATTCCAGGCGCAAATTGATCCAACTAGTGGAGATCATTGGTCGTTTCCATATGCTCTCCAAGAAATGGTTCTACTTAATGAACGAAATTATCCGAGAAGAATTAGATGAACAATCTCAAGTGAGTGAATCTACATTTACACAATCAGACCCTAATGGACCATTATTGGCGAATATTGACGAATGTTCCAAGATAAGTATTGAATTGACCTACCAAGACATTATTGATATGGAATTAGATCCGTACTCGGAGCAAGATTTACAATTTGTCAAAGACTTTGTATTACTTTACTGGGGATCAGTAGTTACAAATGTAGAGATTGGTATCGGACTAAGTGGCATTTGTTGTTAACTTACTTTCATATAGCCATTTATATAGTAATAAGACATTCGAAGGACTATACAGTGTATTGTTACCCGGAAAAATTCGTCGTGGCGTGTAAAAAATTTACCTTGATTATCAACAAATTGATTAATCATTCAGTGTTTAGATTTACTGAAAACAACTTATTAGATTAAGTAAAATCTATATATAACCATCCCTCAGCAATTGGCTTTCAATTAAGCTAATTTGTCCCTTTCCTTCCTAATACACTTGTCTATTGTTAATTCAGTTGAATTCTATATTAATTATATAGCATTCTGAACAAGTTTGGACGTGTCCCCCCTAACATTCATCAACTTTCTTTCACATAAAGGTATTGGTTAATTCTATGAAAGTGGAAGATACTATTAGTGATAAAAAATAGAGGATATCAAGGACGTAAAAAAAAATAGTACATCAATAGAGAGTACATCGAAAAACTATAGATTCTTTAATTTGACAATGAAGGGTCAGAATCAAAATAGCCGTGGTAGTAGCAATCCTAGGGCGGGTGCCAATGGACACCGCCGTTCGAATTCCCGTTATAATACTGGAAATTATCAAAATATTTCTCAAGGACAGCAGAGTAATAATGAGGAATCTATAAATAGCGACAAATTGTTACACTTAGTTGCCAAATCTATTGGTAAGAAGTGTATTGCAACTGTTAGTTCAGGTGCACGTTATCAAGGATTGTTGGTAAGTGCCGATTTATCGTCACAACAAGGACAGGATGTTTCATCTCCGTTATCAATTGTCTTGCAATCTCCGCAGATTTTTTCAAAGTCATTAATTGATGAGAAAAGCAATTCTGACAAAGCGAATGAAATTCCAGAAAAGTTGATTATTCAAGCAAAAGACTTGATGGACTTGGAAGTTTCGAATGTGGATGTCAATGAACCAGCTACCAAGGACCTGAATCCACGTTCTGTTTCACCAACGTCGGGTGCGAATACAGCATCGCCTCCTGCTGCAAACGAAAGCAAATTTAAGACCGATACAGATATAAGTGGTCGTTTACAAATCAAAGAAAGAGAACTTCAAAGATGGGTTCCAGAAGAAGATTCAACTGCATTCGCTTTAGAGGATGATACTTTTAATAATTCAAGTGCGACATGGGATCAATTCAAAGTAAACGAAGAGAAATTCGGTGTTGAATCTAGCTATGATGAACATTTATATACAACGAGAATTAATACTGCAGCTCCTGATTACCATGCGAGGTTACGAAAAGCGGAAAAGATTGCTAAAGAAATTGAAAATCAAACTACTGGTAATCGTCACGTTTTGGAAGAAAGAGGCATTGAGGTCGACGATAGTGGAATTGACGAGGAAGATAAATATTCTGGTGTTGATAGAAGAGGCGATGAATTAATGGCTGCTTTAAGAAATGCTAATATTTCCACCGAATCAACTTCTAGTAACATTCTGAATACACCTGGTAAGTATGTTCCTCCAAGACAAAGAGCTGCACAGTATCACGATGACCCAGCAATTATATCTAGCTCGGCAGCGCAACCTGGTAAAAAACCGGCTGATTCTCAACAAAAGGTTGCTGAAACACCAATTAATCCTAAAGTAAATAACATGTCCAGCAAACCAGATTCTATACCTCCTAAGCCACAGGTTTCAAACCAACATAACGAGTCATTCAGACTTAATGCTCAGAGTGAAATCAATTCCCTTCGGGAATTTAGTGCTAATTTTAAAATTCCTCATCAAATGCCAACGGATTTATTACCAATATTATCGAAGGATAAATTAAAGCAAGATGAGATATTAAATAAGCAAAAGGAGCAACAATTATTAAAGGCTCAAAGAAAGGAACAGAAGCAAGCGGAATTGGCAAAATTAACAAATTCTCTGACTGATGTATCAGCTCAAGAACAGAGTCAACCCCAACAAAGAAAGAAAATGGATCCAACGAGACCTGCTTTCAAATTGAATCCAAAGGCCGCAGCTTTTACTCCTTCAAGTAAGCACACGCAATTATCGCCAAACCCACCCAAGGCCAGCTTCCATAAAGCACCCAATAACCCTTCTCCAAGAATGGGTAACCAAAGGCCGTTCACTAGTGGAAGCGGATCGAGTGTTGGGTCTAACGCTAATGCGAAACGTCATTATCAAATTTCACCAGCAGATTTCTTTGGAGGTGTCAATAGAATTCCGACGAAAGAAGGCCAAGAGCAAAAGGCCAAAGATTTCAAGTTTGCTTTTAACTTGTTCATCACAACTAAGAAGAGGGCGGCAGCAGATCATAGTCCAGTGAATTTTGAAAAGACTTTTTACACACCTCCAACTTGGAACTCTACTATTGATGATACATATGATAAGTTATTCCCATCACCAAACACTATTAGAGGACCTGGTATGGGATTACCTACATCCAATAGCATGCCATTTATGCCAAGTCCTATGATGGGGGCTCCATCGCCTGTCATACCAGGGGGATTTTCTGGTATGCCAGGAACTCCAAATGGTAATAAATTCACTCTCTCGCCTCAGCAGCAGCAACAACAGCAAGCAGCAGCTGCAATGGCTGCACATTTCCAACAACAACAGTTCCACGCAGCCATGATGTATCAACAACAACAGTTTTCTGGTGTACCTCCTGGTCAACCGCCAATGCCAATGTACGGACCTGGCGGTGAGCCTCCTTTCCTTCCTCCTGGTGGATTTATGATGCCCCCAGGAAACTTCAATGCAGGCGGTAGTCCAGTTAATGGCAATGTCATGATGAACCCAAGCCCATACAATAATGTGAGTGGAAACCAAATGAACGCCAACTACAATAACCATCACCAAGGTAGTAGCAGTGGAAATAGGAGATATAATAATCATCACAATCAAACTTCCCAACATGGTCATAAAAGAGGAAGTAATGCTTAATTTGAAGATAAGGATGCGGTCATTTGAACTTGCTTGATTTGGTTTGCTGGTTCAGATCACGTTGAATTGTTTATATATCCATGCCTTCATTTTGCATTACCAAAAAAAAAGAACCGAAAAAACTCTGTACAATCCTGACGTTTTATCTTTTAGATAACCCTAAATAGTTTCTACTTTCATCTTACATATATTTCCTTAAAATTACATTTGTAGCCTTAGTCATATCGTGTGAATAGTTTGCAGATTCAGGATTAACAGCAAGAATGGAAACATTTCCTCCGATCTTAAAGATAATCTACTACTTGCAGCATTATCCAGCCCTTCTACGCTTGTTTAGCGTATGTTATAGCCTTTCTACGGATGTTTAGCGTATGTTATAAAGTATAACAAATCTTCATACTACGTATATAATAATATATGCAGGACTACTCGACGGTATTTTGATTCAGCCTAATAAATCGAGTATTATGAAGTGTTGAACTCTTTAGCAAAGAATTCTACAGGCTATATATACACAATGAGTGATGCTGCATTATCAAGAGTGGCACATTTGATCAAATTGGAGGATGATTTGGTAAAAATTCAATCGTTGCGACAACAATTCACTAAGGAAAAGACATTAGTTGACATTAAGTTGAATGCTGCTACTCAAACACAAATTGACTCTATCATGAATAATTTGAAGAAATTAAATAATTCAGCCAATAAGTTGAATTCAATAAAATCTAGTTTGAATAGATTGAATCAGATACACGATGAGTCCGTAACAGGAGTAGTAGAATATAATACTATTAAACAAATGACTAGTGTAAACCAATTTCTAACGCAAGTACAACACTTATACCACGATATATCTAAATATAAACAATACTTGGATTCTATAAACAAATTAATAGATGAAGAATTCGCAATAATTAGCGAGGATATATCTTATCCGTTATTGAATATTTTCAGAATTCACTATAGCTTGACCCAAGCTAGAAACTTTCAGGATTATTTGGAGACTATTTCCGATACTTTGTCCGATGACTTGAAGTCAATTGTATTCAAAGTAGTCTTACCAGTGAAAAAGACAATCAAGAAATTCGATGATTTACTAGGCGAGATCATTATAAGTTTGACAGAAGCATTAAAGGAGGGAAACGTAGAGCTAGTATTCAAATTAATTAAAATTATCGAGTTTGAATCTAATGAAGACTTAAAGTTTGCACTCATGTCTAATTTGAAATTAATGGAAAATAGGAATATATCCAGCATTGACTACGCAAACTTTAGAGGTGCTAAAAGAAACTATAAGAAATTGTTTTACAATAAGCTAGAGGAAAGTCTTGTGGACACATTTGATAAATGTGTAGAACATTTTAGTTACGATAGAATTTTGGTTTATGATAATTTAAACTGGCTTGAAGATGAGCTTGTTTTTGTTACTGATACTTTATCTCCTATGTTTCCTCCTAGCTGGGATATAGATAATTTCATACAAAACGCCTATTACAATAGGTTGCATAATTTCACAATGGATTTGATCAAGACAGATCCACCGGCTGAAGATTTATTAAAGATTTTGGCATATGATTCCCATTATGGCAAGTTTGTTGTGGCATTACATACTTCACCTAATATTGAAGGTGATGGAAAGCGAAAATCTACTCAGAAGAAAGAACAAAAATCTATTATGGGTGAAGAATTAAAGAAGGTAGTCTTAGATGATTATTTGAAGGTTATTGTCGGCAAAATGAATGAATGGACTGACACCTTAATGAAACTGGAGTCAACATCGTTCGTTCAAAGAGAAACACCACCAGATATTTATACGTATTATCAAACTATTGAAGATGAGGATATTCAAGATCAGCCAATAACTTTAGAAATTCATGGTGAGGTATTTGTGTTACCTGACTTTAAGACACCTTTAACTATGCTTAAGGAACAAGCAGATGTAGCTGTCGACTCAGGGTATGGAAGCATCTTAGTTGGTGTGATTGAAAACTGGTCTAATTGCTATATAAGAAGAGTCCTTAATTACAAAGAAATCATAGAAGAAGAATTTGACAAGTATATGTCAGTTTATAATAATGAACGGTTCTTAATCAAAGAAAGTAAGACTAAGAGGCTATTCAGACGTCATGCACCTCAACCAACGTTTGACATTGAAAATATGACTCCAGAAGAATTAGCAAATATTTCCAAGCCTGGTTTAATCGAGTATTTATGTGCATTGGGAAACACGTATGAAATCAATACGGATCGTTTACAAGATAAATTCTTACCCAATTATAAAACTAAGGTTCACACTAATTATCAAAGTAGGATTCAGGTTGCATTTGAAGATACTGTATCTCCAAGCACAGAATTAAATGCCCAAGTAATTAGAGCAATCATTGATATAATACTTAATGATTTGTATCCAGCCTTGTCAGCTGTATTTACTAAGAGCTGGTATGGAGACAAAAGTCAAACATCCGATGAACCTAATATGGCTGAAAGAATTCTTGAAACAATAAGTGAATATATGCAAGAGCTTAGAAGTTATGCTTCATACGACATTTACCTGTGTACATTTGCCCTTTTCTTAGATTCATTTATATCTGCTTATATTCGTATTGGTTACGAAAATATCTTGCATGGAAGTGGTAAAAAGATTGATCCAACGGCAACGAAGAAGTTCAAGTCATTCAGCGAGGGTGTTGGAAGAGATGTTACTATATTTTATGGGGGATTAGAGCATTTGTTTACTAGAAAGGATTCTGCCTATTTATTGAATAGTTTGAGAGCAATAGAATTTTTAGGTGATTTGGCTACATGTGAAGATCCAATGAATTTTATTCCTCAAATGTGGGAGAATGAAATCTTAGGGTCATTCTATTTCTGTTCTGTTGAATATGTCAGGGGAATTTGTTTGTGCCGTAAGGATATGGATAAGAACCAAGTAAATACATTGGTAAAACAATTAGAAGATATCAAAAAAGATTATCACGAAAATGTTCCTGTGCCTAATCAATTAACAGGTACTTTGAATGAATTTTTCTACAGCTAGACTTTGTACATTATTAATGAATATTTGAATGTTATATTAGTGGTCATGTAGAAATGAGGCAGGTATCGTTATGCAAAATATATATATATATAGACTACTCCTCATCCGATGAAGAATAATCACCAAGCGCACCTGATAGCGACTCAGTGTTTTTAGCCTTAGACTCTATAATAGGTATCTTTGATATGTGATTTTCCAACGGCTGCTTCTTTTTTAAAATAATGGTCTTAGACTGCTTTTGAGCAGGGGCTAAAATAGGATCCAGATGATCGTTCTGTAATGCATTTTCATAAGTTCTCTTAAAGGATGAAGATTCTTCTTGGGTCGTTTCTTTATTCACATTATTCAGGTCCTTTAGACCATTCACACCGTTCAGCCTAAACTTTTTGAACATATCTTTGGCTAATTCTTCGTCTTCTTTGCTTGCCAAGTCCTCACGAAGTGATTTCATCAGTTCGATGTCTTTCTCCACCTTTTCTCTAGCTTCATTTAAGGCTTGATCTCTACCCCCTTTCGCTTGTAACAGCGAATTTTTCGCCTGAAGATATTCCAAATGATCGGTTATTTCTTGCTGCCTTTGCTGATCCTGTAATCTCTTCTCAAGGTTTTCCATTAGATCTCCTTTCTGGTCTTTCAAACTTTCATTTTGCTGCCAAAAAGGGTTTTTCTTCCTTTTTTCTTTTAATAATTGAAATGAGTTGTTCTCTTTCTCTTCTCTTTCCAACCTTTCCAATATCTGCTCCTCAGTTTCAACTTTTATTTTGTTTGTATTGTTATTAGATTCTGGCTCGTAGTTCCTCACCGCTCCAGATTCTGGAACATAACCAGCAGTCTGAGGGTTTGTTTTATAAGTAATATTATTATTACATTTGGGGCATGTTATATGGAATCTTATGATCTTAAAATTCATATACTTTTCATTAGTGACTTCTTTTTTAGCATTAAATTTACGCCTTTCCGATATATACTCGTTACATTTAGTGCATCTCATCGAATATGGAGCCATAAGACGAACTTTTATAATCTGATTTGCAGGCTTCTTCTTTTTAGGGACCTTAGAAGGATCCCAATCTGGGGGATAGTATTTATTTATACCCTTTCTTTCTGACATTCCAGCTATAGTACAAACAAAGTCCCTATAAAATAGACATTGATAAGATTTAATCCCAATATATAAGAGATGACACAAAACGTCATGAACCATTATGATGGCCGATTTTCATTCTACCATATTCCCTACAAATACAATTATATTAAAACATACATTGGGTTGATTATAATACACATAAACGTTTTTTTATTAAAAAAGATGCATCCCAACAACTTAAACTAAACCAAAATAAACATTATACTATTCTATTTAACAAAATTTTTCTGAAAAACTCTTCAATAAAATTAATAACATAACATTTAATCTAATCAGCGTTTCTTCTGGCAGCTCTCTTAGCAGCACGACGTTGAGTACCGAAGATCTTCTTTTCTCTGTTCTTCTTTTGTTTTCTTTGTTGTCTGGATGGCTTGTCAACCTTTTCAGCTAAACCGTATCTAACTAATCTGTAAGATGGTTCGAACTTCTTGGCGTCAGCAACAGATTGGTAGATTAAACCGAAACCAGTAGACTTACCACCACCGAATTGGGTTCTGAAACCGAAAACTGAGACAGCGTCCTTTTCAGTCTTGTAGATTTCAGATAATTTTTCACGTAATTCGTCCTTAGAAACGTTTGGTCTGTTTGGGTGTAAGACATCAATGACGAATTGTCTTCTGGCTAATAATGGGTTGGAAATAACCTTACGAGTTCTAATAGTAACGGAGTCACTCTAAAATATATGTTAGTATATTGTTTCAACAATTTCAATGTCCACCTTGAAATAATTGTGAATATTCGACTCCAATAAGGCCCTTTACTCCTTATATTCATTTCTCCATCGCATGGTTTCATTATATGGTTCCATATCCTCTTTAGAACCACCCTACGTCCTCTGATTCCATTTTATCACAATTTCAATATTTACGTCCCACTTTCAATCAATCCACCATTATCCTCTATTTGTCATTAATTCAATATCTAATAATATGTAATCGGTCTCATATCACAATTATTCATTGTATCTCACTTCTAAACATACCATTTTGATGATATTTCTATTATGGTTTAACTAAATATTCAAGACCAGTATTAATATGTTTGAAAAACTTTTATGTAAATTGGTACTCCAGTGCAGTGAGAAACTGAAAATTTTCTGGTGTAATTATATTACATAATACACCCGCAAATGATTATGTTATTAGTTACACAAATTAAGTCGTGAGAAAATCGAGAAAAAGCAGTCACATATCAGGTGATCAAGAGGACTTTACTCCTCGGCATTAGGTTCTGGTTACTTAGCAGTGCGTACGGGTCTGTTGTTAGGTTAAGGGTCTTCAAGCTTAAGTGCTCGATGCTCGTAGTTTGCATGCATGCCAAATGGGTTGAGTCTGTCGGATGGTCGGTTCTATGATTATGTTTAGTATTAATTATATATGAATCTTATTGATAGTGCATAAGAACCTCACCAATGGTGTTTCCTCTGTGCAGAAGTTTGTTACTCTACGTTGAATGGGTTGGTTGATTGCATTTTGCAACCGCTACGAGGTATAATAGAAACTTAAAAAATGGCATTTTTATATATATAAAGTAAACTAATGCTTTTCAGTAAGACCGATTCTAACAGCCTTGACTTGGGTGTAGTTGTCAAGTGCTTCAGCACCCATTTCTCTACCGAAACCGGATTGACCGTAACCACCGAATGGGATCATTGGGTGGAAATCGTTGTAGGTGTTAACCCAGATGGTACCTGCAGCAAGTCTGTTAGCAACACCAATGGCAGTGTTAATGTTTTCGGTGTGGATACCAGCAGCTAAACCGTATTCAGAATCGTTGGCTAATTCGACAACTTCATCAATAGTCTTGAACTTGGTGATAGTGACAACAGGACCGAAGATTTCTTCCTTAACGATCTGCATATTTTCAGTGACATCACCGAAAATGGTTGGCTTAACAAAGTAACCCTTACCTTCGACTCTTTCACCACCAGTGATCAACTTAGCACCTTCATTCTTACCGGTTTCAATGTACTTTAAGATCTTGTCTAATTGTTGAGAAGAGGCTTGAGCACCCATGAAGGTGTCTTCTTCGAATGGGTTACCAATCTTAATCTTAGCGGAGGCGTTCTTTAATTCTTCGAGGACCTTTTCGTAGATTTCTTCTTGGACATAAATTCTGGAACCAGCACAACAAACTTCACCAGTGTTGTAGAAAATACCAGTGATCAAGGATTGAACAGACTTTTGGACATCAGCATCGTTGAAAACGATGTTTGGAGACTTACCACCTAATTCTAAGGTGACCTTCTTCAAGTTGGATTCAGCAGCAGACTTCATAATGTGTCTTCCGGTAGCAGTAGAACCAGTAAAGGCAACCTTCTTAATCTTAGGGTGGGAGGCAATGGCGTTACCAGCAGTCTTACCGAAACCGGTAAGGATGTTAACCACACCAGGTGGGAAACCTGCTTCCTTGATCAAACCAGTAATGAATAAACCCGATAATGGGGTAGATTCGGCAGTCTTCAAAACAATAGTATTACCAGTGGCAGCAGCTGGACCAAGCTTCCATGCCAACATCAATAATGGGAAATTCCATGGGATAATTTGCCCGCAAACACCAATAGGTTCTCTTCTCGTGTAGTTGAAATGAGTGGATCCGGTTTCTGGCACCGTACCTAAGATCTTGTCGGCCCAACCAGCACATGATCTGAAGTACATGGCGGTCAAAGCAACATCTCCTCTGGAACACATTAAGGACTTACCGTTGTCCAAGGCTTCGATGTGCGCAAGGGTGTCAGCGTTGGCATCAACCAAATCAGCCAACTTGAGTAAAGCGTTGGCTCTGATAGATGGATCACCAGTTGACCACGAAGTGTGGAAGGCAGCGCTAGCTGCTTCAACAGCGGTGTCGATATCTTCTTCCAATGCTTCGTAGACATCAGTGATGTGTTCTTCGGTGGATGGAGAAACCACATCGAATGTTTTCTTTTGTTTTGGGTAAACGTACTCGTTATTGATGAACAAACCAGTTGGTTGTTCATATGTGGTGCCGTTAGGCAACTTAATCGAAACTTTTAATGGTAAACTGGATGACATTCTTATAAATGATTTTGCATACGCTACTTTATTTCTTGCTTGTTTTGCAATTGAATTCTTAAACATGTTGAAATGAATTGATTTTATAGCAGATTTACTCTAATTTATATAATGTTCGAATTCCCCATATTTATACTTTTTGCAATAGTGGGGTTTAGCCCGAACATGGTGTTAAACGATCATTAAAAGTGACCCCTCTTCACTTAGCATCTATTTCGTCACTGTCAAGGGAAGTCTCGTCGCGGGTTTAAGCGCATCGGCGATTACCACCATCAATATCCGAAAGAATTGTATCGGGTCAAAGTTCGCACGTCCAGACGATGGAACATTTAGTATGCGATAGACCCCGTCGGGTAAATCATATACCCGAAAAGCTTCCAGTTGGTGCAAAATGAAAGACATAGAAGTCTCAGGTAGTAGTACACCTAACAGATGAAAAATCAATGAGACATTTTTTCGGTACATGTATTAGAAAGTAAATTGCAGAATACTCACGGCTACAGAAGCTTATTGGCGGTTATTTGCGGGATATAGCCTCTAGTTAATGAAAGTTGAGTTTATCATAAGTAACGCTTTTACAATTGAAGAGTGGTGATGCATCTTACTAATATGACTTAATAATAGCGGTAATATGACCGAGTACAATGGCATAACAAATGGAATTCATGTTTTAGGATTTTCCAGACACGAAACGCCGTTGGTGTTATTCTAACACCGGAGACATTTGAATCGATGAAGGAGCTCGCACTACGGCGATAAGTTTCTAAAGCCCTTTCATCTCTCCACGCCGTTAAGAGAAGAGATGTAAATCGGGGTTTGAATGTCGGAATGTCGTTCTGCTGCGAAAGAGTCAATGTCGCGATTTTGAGGGTGAATGTCATAAAATGGTTGGATTATGACAATGCTTATGTAAGTATATGACATGCAGCGATTTTTTGATCTTCATACAGATGAGCTGGAACCACAGATAGCGTTTGATTTAGGGACTAACTAGGAGCATATGAGCTGAGATGTCGCAGTGGATTCGAGGTCCGATATGTGGCGTGGATAACTGCCGAAGCAGGCTCTATCGATCGACGGATGGGATGAAAATATGCCAGTACGGGCATGTTATGGAAGGTAATGTCGAAATCAATGATGATCAGGATGAGAACTTCGTTTCGACGCGGAGATTGAATCTCCAGTTGGATAACGGGGGGTTTTCAATAGCGCTGCAGAATATCGCAACGCGACAAGAAACCTCGAAGAAAGTGTATGGAACGAATGGGAAAATGTTGTATTGGAGGTGCTTGCAGGTGCTCTTGAAGAAGCAGGTTGATATTTTCCAAATATTGTTCCCGTATGATGCTGGAGAATTGGTGCTGGTGGTCAGGCTTTACTGGTTAAAGTACATGACTGCTAGAATCAGCGATGATCCACATGCTAAGGTTCCTACTGCACTTGATTTGATTTCTATCATATATTTAGCTATATTCAAGTTGCGAGGATATCCCATATATGTGTGCGATATTATTCATGCTCTTAAAGAAAATACGATCCCATACATGAAATGCCTTCATTTAATACCGAATTCGTATTTAGAACAGCTTCCGTCGTATTTTTTGAAATGCTTGGAACCTTACAAGTTGCCCTTGACTAACGAGCTCTACGATGCCATCCTCGAGAATGGATTGAAAATATGCAGTGATGAACAGGCCTTAGAAGTTCCATTTAACTACTATTACCCATTGATATTCAAGGTTTTTTCAGAATTGCTTGTATTTCCCAACGCCCCTAGTCTCTTTCACATTTGCAATAATCTCGTGAACAAATTAGATCACAAGTTTCAAATCTCATTTAGCCATAAGGCAGACAAGTTTCCTGAACTTCAGGCCATTTCTTACGCCATAATGACCGTCAAGATATACTTTATTTACTACAATGAAATAGATTATACTAAATGGCTTGAAATATTGACAAAGTATGAACTTAATACAGAGTTCCATTTTGCCAATAAGCAAATTAATGATGACGAGTTACTTAACTGGTCTGACTTCAAAATAGATAAATACTGTCAATGGCTTTACGATAATGTTGTGTCTGAAAAAAGCGAAGACGATTTATCTGTCATGGACAAGAGACTATATCAAATCTTCAACCTTGATGAATCATTAAGTTCTTCAGGTACCAAGAGAAAGTTAGACAATGAGCAGGATAATGATCCTACTTTCATTCCACTTAGTCAGTACCTCGAAGATGTAGCATCAAATAATGTTGGCTCAAAGATCAAGGCTACTGATGTGCGAGTAATTGAGAATAAGCTATTTGAAAAGTTTACAAAAACATTCGGTATTTCCAAAAAGTTATTGACAAGCTGCTATGATTCAGCTGAACTTGAGATCAAGCAAAAACTAGTCAAGTAAAATTGTATATTACTTTGTATTTATAGTCTATAGCATTAATATTATTCAACTATAATTGAATCACTATTGTTTGAGTTGCAACTGTGGAGCGCGCTCACTATTCAAAATATTTTTAACTCTACTAGTCAAGGTTAGAATCCATATTAAGTATGGATAGATCTACACTGGAGGGACCTAATGGGGATAGTAGTACTAATTCTTATATGGAAAATATGTTAACTACTGGAAACCTGGAAATAGACGATTCTACTGGTCACGATTCTTCAAGTAATGGAAGCTTAAATCAAGATGACGAGGTAGACAAAATAAACACAGATGATGATGCACGCGCTGGCACGGAAACACTTAATCCAGAAGAAGGAAATCTGATAACTTCAGAAGGTGCAGAAGGTGAAGAAAATGCTAGCAGGGATAAAGAAACCCCTGGTATGTCGACAGAGAATATGGTGTATTCTGGCGAAGACGCATCAACAAATATAGATAATGGAAGGGTAATTGGATCTGCAGAAAATGAAGAGTCTTCCTCTGTTGAACCAGATAATAATATAACGGAAAGAGATATTACTCAGCAACATACACGTATAGAAACCCAAGTAGATTCAGAGGTGGATACAATTAAGGATAATGGTAAAGAATCGTCTCTATCTTTGGCTTATGGGGAGTACGATGACAAAATAGAGAAAGAAGGCCTTATAGATTCAAATGAAGGTTCAAAAATGACTCAAGACTCCAGAAGCTTAATGGAAAAAGACACTCTGAACAAAGAATCAGATAAATCTGATATTTCAGAAGAGGATGGTTTACTTCTGACAAATAATAAATCAAATAATACTTCTCCAGAAGGAAGTACAGTTCCTGAAATAAATGACTACATAAGCATAAATAAACCGATTAAGCGGAAACATGACGATATTTTGACAAGCTATGAACCAATTGATCCCTCTTCCTTCCAAACAGAAAAAAGTAAAAAGAGAGTAGCAGGAAAATTTATTGAGAAATTCTGGGAACCTTTGGATGCCCAAACTACCAATTCTTTGGAAAGAATACTAAATATGTGTCTCAATAAAACTATTGAAAAGTATAAAGGAGGGACAAAAATATCCAAAAAGATGATAGAAGCACAGCATATATTATCAAAAAATTGGCTTAATGAGCTGAATCGAAAATCTTTTAGATCGAGACTCAATGTCACCAACGTCCCGTTACCTTCATCTATGCAAAGTACGCCTAAGTCAAATGACAACAGGCTTGATATTTTGAATTATGACCACTTAACCAGACGTACACAATTTTTGGAGACATACCTACTGGCGGAGCTCAAGCAATTATCTGATCTAGAGACATATTGTTCTGATTTAGAAATAATTTATAACCTGGATTTGAATTATTTGAATGAATTTAAGAAAACAACAGACATAAATAAGTCAAAAATGATTAAAGAAACGATAAATAAACGAGAGAAATTAGGTCTAGATAATATAGAGCCTGATCGAGAAGATATCAGACTTGCTGATGATGCAGGGGTAATGAATTCCAGCTTCGATCCCAATACTGATCAAGATACTCAAAAAGTATTACACTTGATAGACCAGCAATTACAAAGTCTATCTTCTAATACCACTAATCTTACGAATCTTAATGAAAAATTGGAAACTTTGTATAATTTTCTTAATAAATGTTGAATGTATAGCTAATCGACAAAAACCCAATATACAGAGACTAATATAGTGTCAGTGCTTGAGTCAACTTCTTCCTTGGAGGATAACAAATCATTATCTTTACTTTCGCTTTTAATATCTTCCCCAACTTGCTCCTTATGTTGTGTATTTCCAGTATCCACTGCATGCGCTTCCAAGTTGTTGTCATCTTCTATTTCTGTTGTACCTAAATCCTCTTTCAAGTCTTTATTGATTTCTGACCCTACATTATCACTTATGTCTGTTTTCACTTTATGATCTTCAAGGTTAGTATTTTCCAATTGTTCTTTCAATTTGTCTTCATTAAATTCGTCTAATTTGAGGGAATCGTCTCCATCTGGTTCAATATGGGTGCCATCCAGTAACTCTTCATAAGTATCGACATTGTTGAATTTATCATTAGTGCCTGTTTCTAAAGTATTTCCATCATTTTTTTCAGCTTCTCTTTCTTCGTTATTCAGACAGTCATCAGTTCTCTTCTCTACAGTTTTGTCTGTGGGTATCTCTGTTGAATCGCCATTTTTGTCAGCTTCCTTACCTTTGTCTCCCTTAAGCTCAACCTTAATGCTGATATATCCATCCCTATTAGAATCCCAAACGGCCCCAAAGCTGGCCAAAATATTCAAGTCGGTTTCAATTGGAGATGGAGATTTCAATCTGGTTGCTTGAATCAAGAATTTATGCTTGGATGACTTCTTTTGTAGCTTTTCAAGTAAGAACTCAATCAATTCATTGGTTCTACCTAACTTACTTATATCCTTATTTATTACTTCAATTAGATACTCCGATGTTATTGGAGATTCCTTAGAAGCGGAAGATGACGTTATAGAAATAATTGGACTATTCATTATTAATGTTGTAATCAGCTTTTAACTGTTCCAAATATAACTCACAACGTTATTTCGTTCCCTGAATACGCGAGATTATTCTTTTTTTTCAGTAAACAAATTCAAAAAACTATAGTACCTCTATATTTCTTTACACTCGTTTGGTTTATAAAAGTTCATAAAAATGAATATATTTAGAAGGAAAGATGCTAGCACATCGAGTCTCTCGACTTCAACTAGCGAAGCTGTTTCAGTTTCGTCTAAATCAAGCTCTGCTAGTACAACAACTTCAAAAAAAGGTGCAAAGTTGATAAAATGCCACACACCCTTTGATAAACCTGTCAACCCTATTAAACCTCCGTCATTTGATTTATCAGAAGAGGAACAGAAGAAATACGATCAAGTTTTAAAGCACTTTCAAGAGCATGTCAAAAAGGAGTTACCAGTAAATGATCAAGCAGGTGCTGCAAAGCATGTGGTACTCGATGAGGAGGTAGCTTGGTTGACTAAGGAATGCTTCTTACGTTATTTACGTGCTTCCAAGTGGAAGTTAGAAACTGCTATCAAGCGTATTGAAGAGACTCTTGTTTGGCGTAGGACTTTCGGAGTTGTAGATATTCCTGAGCATACCGATCCGAAAATACTTATTACACCGGAATTAGTGGAAGAAGAAAATGTCACTGGTAAAAACCTTATAGTGGGTTATGATAATGATAATAGACCTTGTCTCTATCTTAGAAATGGTTATCAAAATACTCCGCCATCCATAAAGCAGGTTCAGCATTTAGTGTTCATGTTAGAAAGAGTTATTCAATTTATGCCTCCAGGACAAGACACGTTAGCTCTATTGATTGATTTCAAAGCTGCACCAGCCCACTTGAATCTCTCGTCTAAATTCCCATCATTATCTATATCAAAGCAAGTATTGAACATTTTGCAAGGTCATTATCCGGAAAGATTAGGGAAAGGTTTATTCACCAATATACCTTGGATTGGTTACACATTTTTCAAGGTTGTGGGACCATTCATAGACCCATACACGAGGCTGAAAACTATTTACGATCAACCATTTGAGAATTTTGTTCCTAAAGAACAATTGGACAAAGAGTTCAATGGAAACTTGGATTTTGAGTATATCCACGATGTTTACTGGAAAGAGATGAATACGATGGCTGAAAGAAAACGTGAGAATTATATCAAGAATTTTCATCGATTAGGTGCAAAAGTCGGTTTGAGTGAATACGACTTAAGGCTAATTCATGATACTGATTCACAGTAGTATAGACAAACTAGATTACATATAAACTTTCCTATTTATTGTCCTATTTTAATGCGTACAGATACATATAAGCATGCCTTAATCAGAAGGTAGTGATGATCTATAAACTAGTCCTTTAAATATTTACAATAGTTCATAATTATGACTGCGAAAAACAAAAATTGCAAAAATAAGTGAACAAAGCACAACATATTAGTAATGAAACAATCACTTACAATTATTATAAATTTAAACCATCCGGTTACAGCACAGTGTTTACCTTACACTCTATATTGCTATCAAAACCTTCGTTGAAGTTAGGGACAAAACGTTATCTAGAAAATCTATTGAAAACGTTGCGCACTGCATATAATATGAAAAATATTCTGGTTTGAGTCATATAGAAACGTTGATTGTAGATTTGATATACATATATGTATTTATTCGATAAGGTACAGTAGAAATGTCTAATATAGAGGGGTATTCGATTACAATAATTTCACACTCATCTGGAATCCCAGAGGAAAAATTAGCTTACGTAGAAACATTCATCAGCGAGAAGTTGCTGTTAACAATAGTTGAAAAGAAAGCGTTATCAACAAATAACAGAGTATTTGACTATGCTGTGAAGTTGGCAGGACAAGAAGCTGAAAAAGTATTGAACTTGATAAAAGATGAATTATTGGGTAATCCATCAGGCTTTGATATTATCTTTCAAAAAACAAGTGAGCGTAAAGATAAGAAATTATTTATTTTTGATATGGATTCTACATTGATTTACCAAGAAGTTATTGAATTGATTGCAGCATATGCAAACATTGAAGATAAAGTTGCAGATATTACCGAAAGAGCGATGAATGGTGAACTCGATTTTACCCAGTCTCTTTTAGAAAGAGTTTTATTGTTGAAAGGCATTGACTCTACATCGATTTGGAGCGAATTGGAAACCAAAATTAAAATAACAAAAGGAGCCAAAGAGTTATGTAAAGCATTAAAGAAACTAGGATGCGTTATGGGTGTATGTTCTGGTGGGTTTATACCGTTAGCTGAGTTTGTTAAAAAACAATTAGGCTTGGATTATGCTTATGCAAATCAGTTAGGAACTGATTCAAAAAATATTTTGGATGGTACAACGAAGGGTTTTATTGTCAATGGTGAAAAGAAAGCAGAACTCTTGCTTGAAATCGCAAAAAACCATGAAATCAATCCTTGTAACGCAGTTGCAGTAGGCGATGGTGCCAATGACTTGAAAATGATGAGTGTAGCTGGTTTTGGCATTGCATGGAACGCTAAGCCAAAAGTTCAAAAAATGGCTCCTTGCTGCTTGAATACTGATTCATTACAAGACATATTATATATCATGGGATATAGCGACGACGAAATTAAACAATTAATTAATTAGATACATAAATAGACTATAATCAAATCTATCCGACTATTTTACCTCTTACAACACCCATAATTCCATTAAATAATAGAATTTCCGTATCTATTTCTAGCGATCTCAACAAGATAGTTTCTTCTTCAATAAAATCTTTTCTTAATAAAAAATGTCTCATCACCCCACATAAACAACCACTGCTCAATTGTGGTGTAATCCATTTACCATCCTTTTTTCTTCTTATAGCTACGTTTGTAATAGACCCTTCCATCAAATGCCCCAGCCCATTAATCAACAAAACCTCTTCCTTCCCAGCCCTTATACCTGGTAATACCCTTTCTCTTGCAGCAGTATATACTTTTCTATTTGTCGTTTTGAATGATGTAAACGGCGACATAAATGTCAGCTCTTTATCAATGTAAACATCCCAGATATCTTCTGGTGAAAAAGAATTATCTTGAATTCCATCAAGCAAGTTATCTCTATAACCAGTGTCATGTAGTTCCACTTTAACATCACCATCTAATGAGACTAGCAATCTTATTTTCATTGGTTCAAATACTAATCTATCAGATAAGGTTATGGCTTCAATGAGTTTTGATAATAAAAAGTCCTGTGGAATTTCGAAGGCTAGTTCATCCAGATCATGAGTCTGAACATGAAAGTATTTCAAAGTGAATACTAATCTATGATAGTGTTCATCAAACAAAAAGAAATTGTCTTTCGTAATATCCGAAGCTATAATTGGTGGTATAACAGTTAATTTGGGATCATACCGTATTGTAGAAAGAATCTGAAAATCGATATTTTCTGGATTGAAAACATCCGTTAAGTACTTCCCATGTATTTCATTAGCTAGTTCACTGTAGGATTGTCCATTGTTTGGATAATCACCCTCCATTTTAAAAATTTCACGAGAAATGACTTAAAAATGCAATATCTAGAACATATTGAAGTCTCAAATGTGTGTGATCGAGGGTGTACATAGTACGATATTTACAATTTTTATTAATCAACTAGGCCTAACTATATAAATATATTACAGAACTTCAATAAGGTCTAAACCTTTTCTTTTCTTTCATGAGCCTGACCTTCTCTTGATCTAATTTGAATTTTTTCAATAAATCATTCATCTCGTCTTTCTTACGTTGTCTTAATTGGAATCTATAGAAATCTTCTTTCTCTTTCTTTTTCATATTAGACTTGGCTTTATCAACTTCAACAGTAGCAGCTAATTTCTGTCTTCCCATTATACCTGCCTTGGTCTTTCTATGCGAGCCAACGACCAATGTGAAACCATCCTCGTCTACGAGCTGTGTTTGTTGTTGAAGATTCTCCATGGATTCCTTTTCTGCCCTATCAAAGTCAATAAGTGCTTGAGATACCGTATTAGATATTTCTTCTGGCTCTAAAACTTGTGATTGATATTTGGACAAGAAGTACGACGATCCAAACGTGGAAGATGCATTAATTGGCCAATTCGATTCCGTGGATGACGATGCAAGTTTCTTTAAGGCATTAAATGCCAACTGAAAAGCTGCTTTATCAACGAAAGTCGCTATCCCACAGTTCTTCGGTAATTTACTTCTGGCTTCAATATCTTCTTGTTGGTTTAATTCCAAATCCGATGTCAACTTAGTCAAATCAACCCATATATCTTCGGCATAATCACTCAATAAACTCGAAGTATATGATTCTATAGTAGATCCAATAGCTACCGCTTGGAAATATTTTCTTAATGATGCTGTAGATGTGTTTATAGGTAAATTGAAGAAGAAAATTGAACGGTTGGCATTATTGTTTGTACTATTAGTGGCGCTATTTTTGCTGTCATGCTTCTTAAAGAATATATAATGCGGAATACTTGCTTCAGGTAGCTTTACCGGCAATACGAGAAAGCCTTTGATCTCAGTAACAGCCATGCTTGAGGAATAATATCAAACTACAGTATATACTTTAGGGCCTTAATTTTAGTGAAAAGTGAGAGAAGAGATAAAATCGGTAAAGAGACGACTCTTCAAATTCTTGCAAAAAGATAAGAAGTATTCTACATTTATGTATATACATATTGAGCTTCATGTATTCTGTACCTCAGTGGGAATACTTTTGATTAGCTGGTCTGAAGAATACAAAAGAATTGGCTTTAGCTGAAAATTGTGGTTTGAAAGTGCATGGTGGGACAGACGATTCACCTTTAAACAATTTTTTTTTAATTCTTTTTTTGAAGTATCGTAAAGAATGTACTCTACAACGAATATAATCACCATTTGGTTGTGTTGAACAAGAATCGAAACACAATCAATCATATCAAGAATTCAGCTATACTGACATAGGAAGAAATCAAATGTAGTTTTGTGTAACTTAGGCTTAATCTCACAAAAATTTTTCATACTGATATGAATGATATAGAGGTTAGCATAGGATAAGTCTTCTAATACGTGTGTAAAATATAGTAATTAAATTTGACCATGGATAAAGATAACTTACTTAAGTCTTTAGCGGGAACGTTAGATTCAGATTTCCAAGTTAGAAAACAAAGTGAACAAGAATTACATGTATTTGAAGTTCAACCTGGGTTTACTGCGTACTTGCTTGACTTAATCACTGAAGAGGATGTTCCACTTGGAATTCAAATCAGTGCCGCCATTTTTTTCAAAAATAGGGTTGTTAACTATTGGTTGATTTCTGAAAATAAGGCTGCAACACCATTGAATATCCAAGATAATGAAAAACCGATCATCAAAGAGAAATTGGTCCAAACGTTGATTAAAAAACACAAGAATAACCAGTTAAAATTACAGTTAGCCACTGCTATGCATAACATTTTGAACTCTGAAAAGTGGGAAGAATTGATACCTGTGATTAAGAAGTTAATTAGTGATTTTGATAATATTGACCATATATACACGGGGTTGATATGCTTATACGAGTACACGAAAAATTACAGATGGGCAGGCTTGGAAAGCTCGAACTCAACTAATCCAGTGTTAGAAGAAATCTCCACTGAAATGTTTCCAATTTTAGAGAATTTGGTCACAAATTTGTTGAATAATGATTCACCGGTCACCGATGAAATGTTGTACATGATCATTAAAGTATTTAAGTTTACAACATTCTCATCATTGCCAAGTTATTTCCAAGACCAGTCGAAATTAGGAAATTGGTGCCACTTGCAAATTCTTATCATAAACAAACCATTACCAGCCTCAGTTATGGAAGAAGATTCCATTGAATTGAGAAGCGCCAATCCTAGAATCAAGACTGTAAAATGGTGTTTTGGTAACTTACACAGATTATTGACACGTCATGGAGGTGGTTATAGTACCAAGGATAAGGCTAATAATGAGTTTGCAAAATCATTCTTAGAGAATTTTGTTCCAGAGATTTTGAATGCTTATTGGACAATTATCGAGAATTGGTCTGTCAAAAAGGTGTGGTTATCGGAAGGATCTTTGTATCATATGATTTCGTTTTTGGAGCAGTTGATTGAAACACCTGCTTGGGCTTTAATTTCTGACAAATTGGATGCTATAATTCTTCATGTCATTTTGCCTACTTTAAATGCTAACGAAGAAACCATAGAATTATACGAAGATGAACCAGATGAATATATCAGGAGATTCTTTGATATCAACAGAGAAAGTAACACTGCTGATGTAGCATCTATCAACTTTATTTTCAGATTGTCCACCAAAAAGTTTAAATCTACTATCAACCAAGTTCTAGGAATTGTTAATGGTATTTTTAGTAGAAGAAATGAAAATCGTCAAGATATTGCAACAGCAATGGAAACTGAAGGTGCTCTCCGTGTGTTGTCAACTTTATCATACAAATTGGATAAGAAGTCATCACCGGTTCAAGGTCAATTGGACCAATTATTACATACATTCATCTATCCAGAGTTATCTGATGAAACAGTATCTAGAACCCCTTGGTTGACTGCAAGAGCATGCGACACTTTGGCTATGTTTGTCTACAAATATCAAGATCAACAAGTATTACAAGACATATTCCAAGCTGTTGTGAAATGTTTCCAAAACCAAGAACAGTTTCCGGTCCAGCTTACTGCAGTTGATGCATTACGTACTTTAGTGGATGAAGAATTAGTTGCTGAACATATTTCCGGACAGGCACCACAATTAATGGGTACATTATTGGACATGTCCAAAAATTCGAGTCAGATATCTTAACCAGCGTTATGGACTCCTTTGTTGAAAAGTTTGCAAAGAATTTAGAGCCATATGCTCATGAATTATCTTCAAAATTGGTGGAACAATTTCTTAGATTAGCTTCTGAGTTATTAGACCAACAAACTAGTAGTACTAGTAATAATATTGACCTCGATAAAGAATATCAAGCTTCTGGTATTTTAAACACTTTAACCACCTTGGTTATTGCTATGAATTCTTCTCCAAATGTTGCAGCTTCTATGGAAAGCGTTATACAGGATATGGTTAAATTTATTCTTGAAAATGCCATGGTTGCATTCTTAGGTGAAGCAATTGAAATTCTCGAATCCATCTTGTTCAGTACTCAACACGTTTCACCTACTTTATGGACTTTATTCCAATCCTGTATTGATTCTTTCGATACCTATGCATTGGAATACTTTGATACCTTCCAACCATTTTTTGAAAGTGTCATCAACCATGGTTTCAGCCAAAGCGAAGTTACTATTGAAACTCCATACGTACAATCATTGCTCAATGTCTGCTTCAATATCCTTAGCAGCGATTCGTTAGATCCTATTTTTGCAGACTGTGCATTTGAGTTAATTGAGTTAACCATATTAAGTATGAACACCAGATTTATTTCATTCTTGCCAAGATTCTTGCCTGAAATTTTTAACGTATTTACCAATTTGGAATCCCAAGATGCATTTGATGGCTATATGTTGCATCATTTATCAGTCTTGAAGATATTCTTTGGATGTCTTTACATCGATCCATCTACTACTTTTAAATTTTTGAACGAGAAACAATTTACTGGCGGATTTTTCCAATTATGGATTAAGCATTCTGGTGATTTCCAAAGTGTTTATGGTTGCAAGATTCAAATCTTATGTTGCTTGTCTATATTATGTGATGCTGATTTATCTTTGATTCCACAACAAGAAACTATTCTGGAAGTAACAGATTTATTAATTTCTAATTTAGAAGTCTTGCCACACGCCATTAAGGCAAGACAAGACATTCTTTCCGAAGACCGTGGTATGAAACAATATTCTACTAATACAGGTGGTGATGATGATGAAGAAGACGAATATGACGATGCTTATCTCGAAGATGATGATTTCGAAGCAGATGAAGCTGAATTAGAAGCAATGAAACAAACCCCTATTGATAATATTAATGTTTTCGAAGTATTTGCAAACAAGGTTTTGTCATTACAACAGCAGGATTCAGGTAAATATACAGGTATTTTTGGAGGTTTAGATTCTAGCCAGCAGGATACAGTCGCTAAGATTATACAAATTAATCAGCAACAACAACAGCAACAGAATAAATAAGTTAGTACGTTTATAGACATTTATACACTTTGTTCAACTCGTTAAAAGATAATAGATTTTATGTTTGATGAAATTCTTAATAGCTATGTTAGTTACACAAAACCAAGGTTGCACTATGAAGTAACGGCAAGATCGTATCTTGTAAAGATAAGTTCATAGTACCATTATATCTAAATTAATAATACAAAATTCAAGAAGATGTTTTCTGGATTTGGATCTGCAATGTTTGGTGCATCACAATTTGCACCAATGAATTCGAAGTTTGAAGATTATTTTAGAAGTTATCCAGTTGCTATGATGCCTGACCATATTAGAAAGGATGATGCTAACTACGGGGGAAAGATATTTCTACCATCATCGGCGTTGAATAAGTTAACAATGTTACATATAAGATACCCCATGCTATTCGAATTATCTAATGAAGCAAGTGGCATTACTACTCACAGTGGTGTTTTAGAATTTGTGGCTGAAGAAGGAAGAGCTTATTTACCTCAATGGATGATGTCGACTTTACAATTATCACCAGGACTGTTGTTGAAAATTTCCAACTGTGACTTGCCATTAGGAAATTTTGTAAAAATAGAGCCTCAATCAGTAGATTTCTTAGATATTACAGATCCAAAAGCGGTGTTAGAAAACGTGTTAAGAAAGTTTTCTACTTTAACAGTGAATGATATAATTGAAATAAACTATAATGATTCCATATATGGGATAAAGGTCCTCGAAGCCAAGCCCGAGTCGTCAAGTCATGGTGTTTGTGTTGTTGAGACCGATTTGGAGACGGATTTTGCTCCACCAGTTGGCTATGTTGAACCGGAATATAAACCCCTGGCCAAGAAACCAACAACCAACGCAATTGACCCGTCCAGCGTTAACAGAAGTGCCGGAGCTGGAACTATGGCCAAGTCTTTGAACTATGCTAATTTGGTAGCCGAGTCTTCAAGTTCTACAAATGCATTTCAAGGCTCAGGGCAGTCATTATCTGGAAAACCTACCTCCGAAAGGAAAGAAACTAAAGCTGAACACACAATAGATGATTTAGATCCTGACGCAGAGCCGGTGCCATTAGATTTACCAAGTAATCAATTATTCTTTGGCTTCCCAGTTGTATTACCAACTCCTGAAGAAAGCGAAGAAGAGAATGCTAACCAAGCCTCTCAAAATGCATTTAGTGGAAGTGGTCAATCATTGAGACAGAGTAAAAAACGAAAGGATAAGACTAGTGATCATCCCTCGTTGAAAAATCATTCAAGAAGTCCAGACTACATTGAAATAGATTAAATATGTTTAACCAACATACATATAGCAATACGTAGTTAAATATCTTCCATTAATGCATAAATATAAATAATACATACGCCACAAATAATATACAAATACTATCAATTAAGGCAAGAAACAATCATTTCCTTGTTCAACAGCTCTTTTGGTGTGCTCAACAATGTCAGTAGCTTCCCATGGATAAGCGATCCAACTGTCTGGAACAGTTCTAGCAGCAAAATAGTTTCCATTCATGATTTCAGCTGGTAATTCAGCTCTCTTTGGCTTTTGCTTGTCGTGTAAAACAAAAATACCAAATTCAGTATCATTTGGATCGGCATTCTTGGCAGCAGATTGTTCGGCAATATCCTTTTTCAATTCAGAGATGGCATAGTGTAAAGTAGTTCTGGTATCATCAACTTCGTCGATAATTAAGATCTTCTTACCAACCAAATCGATCTTGGATTGTTGATAGTCAATCCATTGGGTTCTAACCACTTCGGTACCGATTTGCTCTTCGGAAGCACCATCAACAACTTCGTAAAGCGACAAAATAATAGCCATAACTCTGACGTTTGGTTGACCTGGCTCCTTCAAGAATGAACGCAACATACGGGCTGGAATAAAACCACCACCACCAATAGCTATGATTAAATCTGGGTTGAATGCCTTAATTTTGTCTGCTGCTTCTTGACATAATTGATGGACATTATTGTACGAAATGTACATTTTGTCTTGAACTTCGTCCGAACCCATTGTTGTTTAGTTTGTATCTATACTAGCTTGAATAATTGCCGAATCACGAACCTAGGGGGCAATCGTTTACCCAAGCACAAGAAGACTTAAAAAAAATTTAAGAATTTTAATCCTTATACACTGATGCTGCGCAATGGGAAAAAAAAAATGTAAAAAAATGTCTACGGCAATCTACGGGTTGTAGCATATTTAGTCGTGATATCTTATTCTTCGGATACAGCAAGTATGCTGGTAGACGTGAGAATCCATAGCACATAACAGCCTATCATCCATTCTCTAGGCTTGTCTTATCTTCAATATCTAATTTTTTTGTATCTAGTGGAATGTACACCCGTGTTAGCTCCGCGGAACGGTATTCATAATCATTCCATACACCAAATAAATCCATACATGTAGACTCCATCCTTACACCTGAAATATCAAAGTTAGAACGTTCCAATACCAAGGAAGCAGCAAGATGGCTTGGTATTACCGAGATGGACTGCACGCTAGTATTCCAATGATGTATGCATACATTTATTCAGTTTGTCTACTGTAAGTCAAGGAAATGGTCTCGATTAGACTATGGAACATTGCACATTTCTCGAAGGCCTTTATGTAAAACATTAGAAAATGCATCAAAAGTCTATCTAAAATCAATTGGGTGATCGAAATCCATCGGAGCTTGCAAATTGTAAAGTGTTCCAGATACCAAAGACAGGACAAGCGTTGCTTGTATGAGAATTTTTGAATATCTTATTAGGTGTACCCAGAGAAATAATGAAGAGTTAATAATGTGAGTTAATTCAGAAGCTAGTTATTGCTACTGTACGAAAGTCTCAATAATATCTATGTAAGTTCCGAATCGTATTTAAGCGAAAGAGCCGGGTTAAAAAAAAGTTGAATCTCCCAACGACTTTGGGGTCCCCTTTCCAATCTAATTTTAAGTGCACGGGATTGGAAATCTAACAGTTATATTTCAAAATCAATATTCCTGATCATATAATACCCATCGACTTTATTCTTGATCGTCCAAGGAAGGACAGTACAATTTGCATCCATTGAATAGGCTTATGCTGTATTCGAACACGTGATAATTCTTACTCACCCCTCCTTTCGCATTCTTAGACGGTACTAAACACGTAGAGATTTTTCAGTACTAAATATAGAGAAGTGTTTCCTAATATATATCAGTAAATAGTGAAAACGAAAGGAGGGCATTGATAAACGAGTATGAAACTCTTATTATTTTTCATTTGTTTAGTTGCTACAAGTAGTGCGGCTATATTGGGGATAGACTATGGTCAGCAATTCACCAAAGCTGTCTTATTGGCACCAGGAATTTCATTTGAAATTGTGCTTACTGATGAAGGCAAGAGAAAGGATTTATCGGGAATTTCGATTAGAGAGAACGATGGTGGATTAGAGAGAGTCTTCGGATCTGCCACTGGATCGTTGTGTACCAGATTTCCTCAGTCATGTATCATGGGATTGAAGCCACTTTTAGGGAAATCCGTCAAGAGTGCCGAAACACAACTGTTTTTGGGACGTAACTTTGGCGTGAAGTTAGCTGGAGATGATTCTAGATCTGATGCTATTAAGGTTGATTTGGGACTTTCTAACGATTCTTATAAGTTTGCAATTGAAGAAGTTCTTGCCATGAATTTGCACGAACTCAAAGCTAGAGCTTTGAACGACTTGGAAGATAATGCATTGGCAAAGCCTATTGTTGAAGATGTGGTAGTCTCTGTTGCACCATTTGCATCACACGAAACTAAACAAGCATACTTGGACGGATTGAAATTGGGTAATTTTTCCAATGTTTTAGGATTAGTCGATGAAGGGACCGCAGTTGCATTGAATTATGTTTCGAGTAAAAAGTTTAATAAAGAAGACTTGACAGGCGAAAAGGAATACCATATTATTTATGATATGGGTGCTGGATCAACAACGGCTACTTTATTTTCATTCACCCCCTTCACCAACGGTTCAATTGTATTAGAACTTGAAAGTATTGGATACGACGAAACGTTTGGAGGCCAGTTATTCACCCAATCTGTCCACACGATCATTTTAGAAAAGTTTTTGACCTCATTTGATTTAAAGGACTCAACTAAGCTCCCACCAAAGGTTTTGGCCCGTATCTTAGAAGCGGCTGAAAAGGCTAAAATAGTCCTTTCCATTAATTCTGACTATCATGTTTCCTTGGAAAATCTCTATGACGGAAAGGATTTTAAGACAACTGTTACAAAGGACGAATTTGAAGAAATTAACTCCGATTTAATGGACCATATCACTAAACCCATCAAGGATGCATTGAAATCTACTTCTCCGGAAAAATCGATTGAAGATATCAAGTCAGTCATTTTGAATGGTGGGTCTATGAGAATCCCCTTTGTCCAAAAACATTTAGCGACATTGTTAGGTGAAAAAAGAATTTCTAAATCTGTCAATGCAGATGAAAGTTGTGCTTTAGGTACCACATTACAGGGTCTTAAATTAAAAACTAAATTAGAAAAGGCAAAAGATATTAAAGTGATTGAAAAGTCTTACCATAATTTTGAAATTAAGATTGATGATAATGATGATGATAAATTAGTCTTCGCTAAAGGTTGCCAGATAAACAATAGTTCTAGGTTGAATCTCGGTAGTCATAAAAAGAATATGAATATTGGATTATATGAAGACGGCCGTTTAATCAAATCATATAAATTTGATGATTTCCTGAAAAAAGTCAATGATGTAAGCTGTTCTTCAAAAGATTCTAAGCAAATTTTTGGTACTTTTACCTTAGATCATAATAAAATGTTTGATTTATCTAACTTAGAGGTTGAATGTGTTGCAAGCGAAGAAAAAGGTGGATTTTTCCAAAAGTTATTAAAGAAAGAAGGGGATGCGTCAGAAGGGACCGACGAAGAGATTGCTAATAACGATGGCACAATCGACACAAATGCCACAAATTCAACTCAATCATCTACGTCAAAATCATCTAAGAGAAAGACAAAACCAGTTTCTATTAATATTCCTAAACCGATTTACCCTCATATAAAGCCTATGTCAAGAACAACGAAAGAACGCACTTTTAATAAGTTGGCTTATTTAAACAGTAAAGATGAATCTCGTGCAGAATTAGACCAGATTAAGAACAACTTGGAGAGTGGATGTTATGAATTACGTGCATATATTGACGATCATCAAGACGAATTATTAAAAGAGATGACCGAAGATGAAATATCGAATTATAGCACGTTTGTTCGTGACACCATAGAGTGGTTTGAATTTGATAGTGACGGATCTTCTATCGACGACTTTCTTAATAAATCAAGCGAAGTAGCTTCAAAAAAGAAAGATTTAGATTCCATTGTCGAAATGTCGAAGGTTGATATCTCTTTGGCTGGTATGAAAAAATTATATGAAGATGGTACTACTATTGCTATGCAAGTTCAAAGCTATATGCTTGAATCTGGTACTCAAATTAGTGAAATTAGACAAAAATATGAAAAAGAGAACTTCGATTTTGATAAGGAAAATGATCGTATTAAATTTAAGCTTTTGAGAGAAGGCGGTGATAAGATTATGACCTTAGACAAGGATTTAGCTAAATATAAAGATCATTTAGCAAAAGTTGGTGAATTGACTTCATTGAGCGAATCTCAATTTAACAAGATACCAAAGAGAGAAGTCTATGAAAAGTATGAAGCGGCTACGGCTAAAATTGTTGAGATGTTGGCCGATATTATCTTGATCCAGGAATCGCACAAGTCAAGAATTGAAACATTTAATGATAAATTCGATAAGTTATTAGAAAGAAAGAATAAAAAAGAATTGAGAGATAAATTAAAGCAAGAAAAAGGGGCAGAAAAAGAAACAGATAAGGAGGCAGTTGAGGAAGAAGAAGAGAATGGCTTCATTGAAGAAGAATCTGATTCTGAACCAATTGAATCGGAAACTAAAACCAAATCTACAGTTAATAATGAAGCTGAATCTACGGAGAATGTTCACGATGAATTGTAATTTATGTTTCTACATAACCTCTATACATAGTTATATACTGGTAATTATATATAATACCCATTAATATTAATATTTGATTTTGTTTGACCAGTTTGTGTAATGTATTAAAAAGCTAGATGCGAGATGAAATAAATTATCAACACTATAGAAACCAACTAATCAGAGGTTAAGATAATTATACTTGAATATGAATTACGACAATAGTATGTATAAATTGTGATATAAACTTCTATGCTTCGAGTTTTGCTGAAATATTAATTGAGAGAAGCTATTTTAATAAGAGAAAATGTACTAACATTCGCAACAGATCGTCCCTCATCGTCTGGAACTTATCTGGGAAGAGACTCGTATAGAACACCGAGAAGAGAAAACAATGGCGGATATGAATACCAAGATAGGGCTAGAGAAAGAGTTCGTGATAGTCCATACGGAGAAAGAAGTACACCGGAATATGAAAGGAGAAGTGGGAATGATAGGTATGATGACAGGAGAAACGGGAATGATAGGTATGATGACAGAAGAAATGGGAATGATAGGTATGATGATAGAAGAAATGGAAATTATAGACCATCACGACCATCTCATGACACAAGGAACGATAGATATAATAGTAACAGATATTATAGAGATAAAGGAGATCGTTCTGATAGAGGAGACTCACTGTTCTCATATAAACCGAGATATGATGATCGACAACTGAAGGGAAGACAAAGAGTTCCTACGCAAGATTTAAAACCCAAGTTGACCAAAGAAGAAGAAATAGAGAGGTGTCAAAAGAAACTAGCAAGTTTGCAAAAGGTTCCAAATATTGAGGATATCACTATTATCGACTCGAAATGGGGCGTGAAACCAAAAGGGTTTGAGAATGTAACAGCACAGAGAGCCAAGTTATCAGGGTTGTTTCCCTTACCAGGTTATCCAAGACCTGTTGATTTTACAAAGTTAGAAGGGGTAGCTAGAGACAGATTATTAAATTCCAACGATATTTTGAATGGTTCGTCGAAAATTGATCCTATAGATTCAAGAAACTCTAGCATCTTGTTCATTAAAAACATTAATTTTGGTTTAATTGACTACTTGAAAATCACTGAGTATTTCAATAAATTTTTGAGCCAAATTGATATCCCCGAGACCACATTAAACAACGTGGAATCCAAAAGGAAAACAAAAGATGATCAAAATTTAATCATTGAATTTAAGAACAATACATGTGCGACAATTGCAATGGCATTAAATTCTAGGAAATTATCGTTTAATGAGATGAAGTTGGTCAAAAACGACGACGAAGGAAACCCTATTCATCAAGGGGGTCAAGAAACTGGAGATAATATCGTACTTGATATTTCCAGACCTGGGGAATACGTAGTTCAATGTTTACCACCGTATGATAAAATTAAAGAGGATGAAATCGAAGAGGTTGTAATCGATAGCCCAAGAAAAATTACACTTTTAGTATCTCCCACGCTTAATGAAACAGAATTAATTTCAAACATAAAGGAGATAGGCACTATCAAAGGATTTCAGTTGTTAAGAGAGATAGGTACTAAAGAGTCATTAGGAATAGCTTTCCTAGAATTTTATATTGATCCAACTAAATATCAGAAGACTATTAACGCCATTCCAGTTATGCAGACGTTGATTGAACAATTGAAAGAAAGTCTGCTTATAGAAGATGCCTTTTTCTCCTGCATTATTCCTGATAAGACGAGTATCCAAGATTGTCCAATTGATTTGAGCACATTAAAGAAATTAGTAAAGAATGAACATGTTACAACACACCCAAGCCTGCGAGTTATTCAGCTAATCAATATAGTAACTGCTAAAGATTTGATGGATGATGCTAATTTCAAATTTATTCAAAAGGATATTCTGCAAGAGGTTTCAAAGTTTGGGAATTTAAGAACTATCAAGATCCCAAGACCAGCAAATGATTATACTCCAGGAATATCGCAGTTTTCTCAGCCAGGGTTAGGAAAAATATATATTGAGTTTGACGATGAGGAAACTGCATTAAACGCTATCATGGGACTAGCTGGAAGAATGTATAATGATAGAACCGTACTTTGTTCGTTTTATGATTATAATGATTTTAAAAACGGATTACTTTAAATAGCATTAATTATACTTATTCTCAATCAAAAATAATTTTAATTCATTTGGAACATTGGGATCAAACCCGTGTCTTGTAATTAAATCATATAGTGGTTTTGGTAGCTCAGGAATGAAGCTTAGACTCAACTTTATAATCTCACTTTCTTCCAATGGTGGGAAATTTCTTAATATTTTCATGGGCTGTTGAGACTTTAGCAATACCGATCTATGACTTATCAATTGTGCTACAATAAACAAAATGTTCATATGCGTTCCGTATGCAAAAAGGAAATCCCACAATTTAAGCACTGATTGTAATGGTGGTGTACATGCGCACAACGTTAGTACCGACGGAAATGCATAGATCTCAGCTTTTAAAAACTTTGAATCGAGATATTCACTTAGCACTGGATCAATAATTGTAAGAACGACATCAACAAGGCTAAGCCCAGCATGAACGCCGTCTAAGTTTGGGGTTATGTATTGCGGTATCTGCTTCGTAATTAAATGATGCAATATCGCAAATGCTTGAGGTTCACTTTTTTGGCATGCATAGGCAATAGGAGCTAACAAAACATTCATTCCTTGCACATATCCCACTTTATTGTCAACAGTCATGGCTATTGCTGATAATATCCTCACTAGCGAATGTTCCAGCACTTTTTGATGAAAATTCTTATCGTTCATTAAAGTCCTGAACGTGTCATTCTTGATTTTTTGGTATAACTCGGGTGACAAATTGTCCACAGTATCATCCATGATTTCTCTATACATATCTGTTGAAAAAGTTGGCACACGGCAAAGAATTGACCAAACGTAGGATCTATAAGGACACAGATCATATCCAGGTGGAATGGACAAACCTTCAATGAGTATCATGTATCTCAACTGAGATAAACTATTTTCAAGGAAAAGTTGGGGAGAACTGATAAATTGCTCTATTGAGTCCTTCTTTCTTCCTTTCATTTGCATATTACTAGGTGGAGTCATTGCATTTGTTCCATCTTTCATGCTGGATATGATTTGACTAGCACTTGTTTAATGTAAACATAACTCCGCAACGCTCATAATTTACATTTTACACCAATTTACAAGTTAACTATGAACGTCAACTTTGTCAAAATAAGAACAAGTACTTCATTCGTTTCGTTATATAAAGCAAGTGAAAAATATAAGAAAAGCAAATGTTCGGACTCGGGAAGTTGTTGTACGTGATTATATTAACAGTCAACGGGATAGCGGTTCTTAGTGAAGATAGATTTTTGAATAGAATAGGATGGGGATCTACCACTGCTAACAATCCATCCCAACCATATCTGCAATTTTCTACTAGTGCACAAGGCGAGGGAACGTCTGTTAAAACGAGGTTGATTAATCTCATCAGTGCTGTTAGAACACTTATGAGATTGCCATTGATTTTCATTAATGTGGTGATTATCTTCTACGAATTAATATTGGGTTAGGCTAGCAAATCAGAGTGGCCGTTCCACTCTTGTATATTATTAATTACACGGTTCAATTTACGTTATAAATCTATTCATTAAACTACTGTACATTTGAGCCTCCAATACATACGTCGATCGCATAAAATGGAATCGCACAATCAATATGTATTAGATGCGTGGTTTCAAGAATCTCCTGGTGCTTACGACTCGTTTTTCACCTCTGTACTGGTGCTGTGTAGCCTATCCCTTGATTTTTTGAATAACTCTTCTTGTTGCTTCAACAATTCCTCTTCTGTCAAGCCAGAATTTTGGAACTTGTTATTCTTCTTTTCTTTTCCTTTCAAGAGTTCTTTATGTTCGTCCAAGATTCTGTTAATAATCTCGAGGTAATTGTGGAAACCCAATTCTTCCAATGCTTTTACAACATGATCTGACGCTATGGTTTTTTTAGCTTCTTTTTCTGCTATATCATTCAGCTGCGTAGACAAAATCATTATAAATTCTATACTGCATTCTGTTATGGCTTCCCTAGCTTCTTTAGAGATTGCAATATCTTTAGGCAATATTTCTCCTATGATCTTCTGAGCCGTGGCCTTAGGGAGTGATAAGTCTTCTCCGCTGCTGCTTGGATAATCCGACATTCTGATGTTTGTTGTACCATTTATTTTGTTTCTCAAGCCTGGGATTTTGGGGGCCTTTTATATTCTTTGCCCTATTACGTAATCACTATATATAGCATTCATTTGCAGCAACTCTGGAACATAACAATAACAACACTCTTTTTATTGACGGTGATAATTGCTAGCCACCTCCCTATCTGAAGGAGTCAAAGATGTATCGGCATTTACTTTAAATGTGAAAAATTTCTAAGGATCTCGTGAACTTGAGTTCAGATACATAAATGATGACAGGTTTAAACACACGCACCTCGGCAGGTTTGAAGTAGAAAACATTATTACTGCCTAAATGTAAGTGGAATTTGAAGAACGGAGAAGTCAGGGGTATTAGTAGTTGCTTGGTCTTTTTTCTCGATAAATTTGGTTGTCAAGAGTCTAATGGGCCTGCTTAACAGCTTAAGGAATAGCCGCCACAAAAGACATGCTTATTGAGAACGATAATTTAGTCTGTAAGTTGTATGTTAATCATAGAAATATATTCCTTGCTTCAAGACCGATGATAGCTGATTGACTAAAATAGGATGATAGAGAGATGGGAAAAGAGAGATGGGAAAAGAGAGATGGGATGAGAAACTGCTGACTTCTACTGATTTAATTTGAAAATATCACATTTAGACAGATGATATAACCACCTTAGTTAAAACTTCCAAAATGAAGGTGGATGTCGAGAGACGAGAGTTCAATTGGAAGTAACATGAGCTGCCCATGTCAATGCTCTTAGGAAGTTTGGCTGTTAAAAGTCTGATTATATAATCGTTATACACTCGCAAAAAAATATTTTCAAAAATTTTTGTCTTCAGAGCTCATCTAGTTATCAGTTGAATATTTGAAAGAATACTGTCTTGTCATATAAAGAAGTGTCTCGTTATAAACAAATAGTAATAAGTTAAGATATCCAATCCTTTAATATTAAACATTGTTTACCCTGTATCATACATTTAGAAACACATATTTCACATAAGACAGAGACATGGCATCGACAGGACCTTTAATAAGCGCTAAATTTGATCCAACAAATACTTATTTAGCATCGGGAGTTATTGCATTAGATACACATCAGGTTAGAGTACAATCTATAAACCCATCACAATCATCGTTAAATTCATCTTTCAATTTAGACAAATCGTCAAGATTGACAGCCTTATCATGGATACCATATACTGAGAACCAGCTCATCGCCATAGGATTAAGTAAGGGATCGATTCTTGTATATTCCCCTTTAACCAATGAAATAATATCTGAATTAGTTACACCAACTAACTTGTCGATCCAAGATTTCCATTACTCCAAACTAACTCAGAGTGGTTGGTCTTGTGATATTGGTGGAAATATTCACGAATGGGATTTAACAAGCTTTAAGTTATTACAAACCTTTGCCATTAATGACTTGTTAGAGTCGTCTGAAAACATTTCTAGAATCTCAACCGTGCTTTATGAAGAAAAAGCCCATTTATTGGTCGGTTCTCATTCAGTTTACCTTATAGATATCCAAGAGAGACAAATCCTCAAAACTTTCCCTGCTCATGTTCAGCCAATAGATACAATTTATCCAATTCCAAGCAATAATGATTTATTCCTTACAAGTGCTGTCGATGACAGATTCATTAATTTATATTCGATTTCCAAGCAGAATACAAAAGCTGTATTTGTGGCTCAAGCATCTATTTTGGATATGGCCCTTGGAATAAAGAATGAAAATACTTCAGTTCTAGTAATGCTTACTGAGAATGGCACATTAGAAGTTTTTAATAATCCATTATCAAATGATGCACCTGTTTCGGCAAACGTGCATTCTAAAAAGAAGAGAAGACAACAATTATCTACTGTTCAGTCCCGTTCTTCTAATGCATCTGTTAAATTGGCCAGACCACAAGATGAAATCAAAAGCGGCGTAGACATGAGTTTATCCATAACTGCAGTATCCGTAAATGATGATTCTATTGTTTTATCATGGCTAGAAAATGCTAATTTACTGTACTTTGAATCTATTAAATGGTTGAACGAATCAGGCGAAGTGATTTTAACAAACTCAGTTACTATTGAAAAATCGAAACCAGATTTGAAAACTACAAGCCATTCTGATTATGGTCATGATATTGCAGCATCCAAACATTATAATGAAGGTAACGCGATTGTCACTGATGGTTCAAATTTCAAAGATTTGGATAATGAAAGTGACGAAAATGACGATGAAGAGGAAGAGACATTAGCAGAAAAATTGGAAAAGTTATCTACAGACCAAAAACCAAAGCAAGCTAATCCAAATAAAAGAAAATTAGGCAGTAAGAATGCTCCTGCAACGTTGACTATTGTTCTTTCTCAATCGTTAAAGAGTAATGATCACTCATTATTAGAAACTGTTTTAAGTAACCGTGATCCTCATGTTATTCAAAGTACTATTAGTAGATTGGACTCGTCATTAGCTGTCATCTTATTAGACAGATTGGCTGAAAGAATTACCCGTCAAACATCTAGATTTGACCAATTGAACTATTGGTTGAAATGGATCATAATCATTCATGGTGGTGTTTTAACATCTTTCCCAAACTTGAATATTAAGTTATCAAACTTGCATGCAATCTTATCTAAAAAGGCAGATACATTACCCAGATTATTGGAATTACAAGGAAGATTAAATATGTTATACCAACAGAATGATTTGAAGAAAGAGATTCTCAGGGACGATTTCAATGACGATTCTGACAATGGTGAAAGTGATGTGGAATATGTTGAAGAATTAGACGATGCCGAGTTACTTCAAAATGGTCAGGATGAAAGCGACGATGAAATGGATATCATGGATGGTCAAGATGATTATATGGATTCTGATATTGCAAGTGGAAGATCCAGTGAAAGTGAAAGCGAAAGCGAGAGTGAAGATGAAGATCCAAGAGATTCCATAAAGTCTGTTATGGATTTAGAAAATCCTGAGGATGAAGAAGCTTATAGTGACGTAGAAATTGCAGTGAAAAATGATGATATATCTGAGGCCGATGAAGAAGATCAGTAAATAATAGCATTGAAAAATTTAAGTCAACCAGCTTCAGTATCCCTTATACCTAACCTTTATAGAGATAATATTAATATTAAACTAATAGTTACGACTTAAATTATTCTGTAGATTAATGTAGATCAATACACACTTCTATTTTATAAATCGCAAAATACGTTTGAAAATTGTGAACAAATATAAAGTAGTCTTTATTAGCATGTCGTGGAGTCTTGATTTTAATTGGAGATATGTATACTTGATAGCAATTGGGTTAAAATTTGTACTTGCATTATCCAATTCTTATATTCATCCTGATGAACATTTTCAAAGCTTTGAAGTTTTAACTAATAAAATTTTCAACTTCACTACAAATCCACCATGGGAATTTTCATCTGACACACCAGCTAGAAGCTTAGGGCCGTTATATTTACTTTACGGCCCATTATTGTATTCAATTAAATTAGTGGGATCAAAGCTTAGTCCGTTACAAATATGGTATATGACTAGATTGCAGAATGTTATAATCGGATGGGTAATTACGGACATGTGCATCCATAGGTTATTACCTACAAAACCAGAAAGAATAAAGGGGTTGTTTTATACACTGACATCGTACATAACATTAGTATATCAATCACACGGCTTTTCCAATAGTATTGAAACATGGTTGGTTTTAATTTGCGTTTTGATTATAAATGATTTACGGTTCATTCTAGAGCTGAAAGTACCAGAATTACAAATACAAAACCAAAACCAAAGATTATTTTGGTTTGGGGTTCTTGCATCCATTGGTATATTCAATAGAATAACGTTTCCGGCATTCTTGGTTCTTCCAGCTTTTTACTTAATAAAATACTTATGGCATAATAAGATAAGTACAGTCTTTTGTTTATTAGGATTTATTGTCCCAACCATAGCTTTTATCTTGATAGATACATTTGAATTTAATGGTTCCATTGATGCCGTTTTAGATCATCCTTTTGATTTAAGCAGTTACGTGATAACTCCTTTGAATAACCTTATCTATAATTCAAAAGTAGAGAATTTATCGAACCACGGCCTTCACCCGTATTATACACATTTATTAGTCAACTTACCGCAAATAATGGGGCCTGGATTGTTTTTCATGGTTTCTAATTTTAAAAACCAATATTGGAGGACTACACCATTTTTAGCGGTTATAAGTGGCGTATCGGTATTGTCGTTTATTCCACATCAAGAATTGAGATTTTTAATACCAATTGTACCGTTAGCATGTTGTTGCTTTGATTTGAAGAACATTTCATCTACATCCAAGAAAGAAAAGGTCGTCAAAGCGCCACCGTTCGTTTCTATATTGATGAATTTATGGTATATTTTTAATGCTTTTATGGCAGTATTATTGGGAGTATATCACCAAGGAGGTGTAGTTCCAGCCTTAGATTATTTTCATAATAATACATTCCAGAAATCTTCAAGTCAATCAATTCAAATTTGGTGGAGAACCTATTCCCCTCCTTCTTGGATTCTTGGTGACAAGTACAATACATTACAGGTTTTAACAGTAACTGATGATTCTCCATTATTTGAATTCGATTCAACAAAATCAAATCATTTAATAGATACAATGGGTAGTAACTACAAACATGTTACAAAGTTAATAGAGAGTTTCAAAGATTTCAGAGGATCCATTTATTTAATTGCCCCAACGGCTTCTATGCGTGAACATAATGATATTCCCATGAATCAAGTATGGAATTATACTCATCATTTAGATTTGGATCACTTAGACTTTTCTGATTTGCAAAGTTTGAAGCCTGGGTTAGGGATTTATGAAATATTATGAAATATTATGAAATTGTATATATTATTTTACAAAATATTTATTTATAAATTTTTAAATGAAAATCTATATGAAATCATTTGTAGAAATCGAACTTGTCATGCTCAGTTCCAGATTTAACTTGTGACGTGTATGCTTCTTCCAAGTCGCTTTGTAATATCATATATCTGTTCTTTCTGACAGCCCTTAAACCAGCTTCTTGCATAATTGCAGCAATAACAGCACCAGACAAAGGATCGTTTCTTATAATCAAAGAGTCTAAATCAGCTTCAGGAGCTAATGCCATCTTCGATGCTATGGTAGAAAAGATTAATCTTCTTTCTCTTCTATCCTTTAATGATGGGAATTCAATCTTTCTATCTAATCTACCAGGTCTTAATAACGCTGGATCTAAAGTGTCATGTCTATTTGTTGCCATTATGACTTTAACAGTAGAATTCTGATCGAAACCATCCATTTGATTTAATAATTCCAACAATATTCTTTGCACTTCCCTATCAGCACCGGTCTGAGCGTCGAATCTTTTAGTTGCAATTGCATCAATTTCATCTATAAAAATGATAGCAGGAGAGTTTTCTCTGGCTAACCTGAAAACATCTCTCACCATTCTTGGACCTTCACCCAAATACTTTTGGACGAATTCGGAACCATTGATTCTGATGAAAGACGCAGTGGATGAATTGGCTACCGCTTTCACCAACATGGTTTTACCGGTACCTGGTGGTCCGTATAACAAAACCCCTCTTGGAGGGTCAATACCAATTTGGGAATACAAATCACCTTGAGTTAACGGCAATTCGACTGCTTCTCTGATTTCTTGCTTTTGCATGTCTAACCCACCAACATCTGCGTATGTGACATCAGGTTTTTGCTCGTCTCCAACAATAGAGATCGAAGAGTCTGCTTCAGGTGGCAAAGTGTCGACTAACGCATTTGAATGACGATGTAATGCTACTGATGACGATGGTTTCAACAATTCCCTGTCCAATGTTGACAATATCCGTACTACATAGTTAGAACCAGTAGTCGACGAAACAATACCTGTATTTTCGTCAATTGGCTCGAGAAACTGTCCAATAACCAATGGAACTGACTTGATCCTCTTGACTTCTTCTTGCGCCCTTACTAATTCCCTTTTCAAGTGACGTTGCTCATCCTTGATATAATCTTCCTGTAACATCAACAAGTCCAATTCCTTCTCTAACTTTTTCAACTTCAAATATACATCTGTGTTCTCTTCATTATGATTAGCCTTGTTATTAACCTTATTGTTTATTGGAATATGTGTTTGCTTACCGTTAGATTCATAGATACCAAGTTCTTCCATTGTAG